ACTCCAGTAGTACCATCAGGCACAGCATCACTTTTCAAAAGCCATGTTGACTCTTCCCCATAATTAGAGATAACTGCATGCCAATTTCCTCCCCCTTTTTTACAACTTCTACTAACTTTGTTCAGCACAGATATCAAACTCCCTGGTCTAAAATGCCCCCAGAGCCTTATCTCAAATTGTATCTGCTGGTGACTCTTTAAAAGCAATTTTAACCAGGAGTTTCTACACCACAGTTAGTCAGCTCTGTCATCCTTGAGTTGTTTTTTTGACCACTGGGGTGAGAGCCATGTGGTTTCAGAGATTTACTAAGTGCTTATTTCATTTTACTACATTATAACCTTTCTTAGCAGCATTTTGCTCACAGACAGTCCTTTGATGGATTTCCTCTCAAGGAATGTTTTAGACGTGGAAATCTCCCAGATTTTCCTGTCATGAACACCAGTGCAATAAATCTGTTTGGTTTTCTACTTGCCATCACCTTTTCCTTCGAGTGCTCTTTCTTTATGTATTAGCCTGTGTTAGCCTCCTTCTTTATGTATTAGCCTTTGAGACACAAGATAGCAGAGTTCTGAACTGGTAGAATGAGAAACATATTTCTTTTACTTTAACATTTTTTTTTCAAATTTAAGTGTTAGAGTCTTTCTTGTGGGTGGATGGAAGCACAGCAGCAAGTACCCATGAACTGAGCTTTACTAGAGACTAATGCTGATGTTATTAAAGATAAGGTGATAGTCTCAAATTTGATGTAATAGATACTGTAATCAGTGCCAAAGCCTTAACACAACTCTTTTCTCTGGAAAAGAAGAAGCTGTGGGAGCAGAATGTGCCTCTCCAGAGGTCTAGAGATACTGTTTTGACTGCTCATCACTGAAGAGGAAATCTCCTGATATAGCAAGCTGGTGTTAGGGGGGCAGAAGCAATGGAACTGGTTCAATTGTTGCTTAATGTTTTACGACCCACCTTCACTGTGGATACCTCTAAAAGAGCCTCAAGTACTCATTTCTCTATGTAAAAGTTGTTGAGTAGTCTCAAGTCATCAGCTGTGCATGGAGGCAATGGTACCACAGCACAAACAAGAGGTAGAGGAAAAGGAACCAGAGATACTTTCACTCCGGTGTTCTGCTACAGAAGTCATCCATATGATGAGATGCTCAAAATCCTGAAGGAACTTCCTATTTGGCAGCTGACCTTAGGTAGCCTGTGAGATGAAGGAAGTATCCTCTTACCTCACAGTGCAAATTGGTACGGACCTGATGGCTGCCCTCAGTCTTTTACCCAGTAGAGACAGAAAAGAGTGATTCAAAGTTCAGACAGCTCTTCCTATCACGCTTACAGGCAGAAATTGAATTTGTTGCTCATGTTCTTGCTCTGGTAGGGGGCAGGGGAAATGCCATGGACATGCAAGCAAGCATGCACACACACTAAGAAACTTCTGCAAGGGAGGAGGAGCTGAAGAAACTAGAAGGAAGGAAAAACACTGGTGAGGGAGGAAGAGCTGCCTGTAGAGGTGTGAGATAGGAACAGTGCTTTGTGAAGGGGGAGGAGAACACGATGATGAAGAGTTGGTAAACAAGCTGGGAGCGTGTCATAACCCCCCCCCCATATACACCTTCCTGTGACCACTCTACAGGGCACCGTAGAGTGGTCTCAGCAGAAGATGAGCCACAAATCAGTCCCAAGGCAAACACCTCTTGTTGAAGGCAGAAAAAAAGCTGCCAGTCTACAAATCTTTGAGTTTGTGACTTTTGAGTTTTCCTTGTGCAGGGCGGGAAACTCTAGCTATACTTCCTTACAGAGGCTGGAACAGGCAGGCATGGCCTGAGGTGAGGTTAGATGAGATGACCCTGCCTGGGCCAAGGTATTTTCTCTCCTCACAGTACCTTATCTGAGCCTTATCTGCCTAACACCACAAAGATAATGAAGGACCACAGCATTGTAGGACACAAGTTTATCATAGAATGGTTTGTTGTTGGAGGGGGTTTTAATAATCATCTAATTCAAGCTCCTTGCAGGGCAGGAACACCTTTCACTAGATCACATTGCTCAAAGGCCCTTCCAACTTGGCCTTAGACATTTTAAGTGATGGGATGTCTTTCTTATAACCCTCCCTTTATATTTGTTAAGACTGCAAGGAGGTTTTCCCAGACCTTCTCTTCTCCAAGCTGAACAAGCCCAACTTATCATAGAATCATTAATGTTGGAAAAGACCACTAAGATCACCTATTCCAACAGCCTAACTACCACTAGTATTGCCCACTAAACCATGTTGTTAGTACGATATCTACATGCTTGTTGAAAACCTCCAGGGACAGGCAACTCAACCACCTCTCTGGGAAGCCTGTTCCAAAGCCTGACAACTCTTTCAGAAAAGAAATGTCCTAATATCCAAGCTGAGCCTCCCCTGCCACAACTTGAGGCCATTCCTTCTAGTCCTATCCATCATTACATAGGAGAAGAGGCTGATCTCCACCTCACCCCAGTGTCCTTTCATGCAGTTGTAGAGAGCCTCCTCCAGTCACCTCTGAGCCTCCTCCAGTTCCTGAACAATCCAGTTCCTTCAGCTGCTCCCCATAAGACTTGTGCTCCAGACCCTTCATTGCTCTTCTCTGGACACTCCCCAGGGCCTCAATGTTTTTTCTTGTAGTGGGGGGCTCAAAACTGAACACACTCCTCAAGGTGCAGCCTCACCAGAGCTCAGTACAGGGGAACAATCACCTCCCTGCTTCTGCTGGCTGCACTGTTTCTGATACCGGCGAGGATGCTGTTGGCCTTTTTGACCTTCTGGGCACACTACTGGCTCATGTTCATGTTTGGACCTAGTCCAAAAGCTCTGTGTCTTTCTTTTCCTGAGGGTCCCAAACTCAGTGCAGTACTTCATAGTCATGAAAGCAGAATAGAGTTACATGTGGAGCTGAGAGGTGAGATGAAAAAAGAGAGCTAGAAAAGCCTTGCCAGGCATGCCACAGGGTCATTGTTTCTGCAAGTGATTTGTCATGCAATTCCTGATGCACTCTGAAGCTGCCTGTGGATGCAAGCAGAGAACACAGCATCGAGTGGAAAAGAGTAGAGTGGCACAGATGAGAACACAAATTGCACAAGCTGGTTTAGTAGGTAAATAACAAGGAATGTGCTAGACTTCAAAAAATAACCCACATAGAAATTAGAAATTGAAGTAGATTTTTTGTAAATGATTATGAATATTTACGAATTATTTGTACTTGCCCTGGGCGATATCTAAGCCTTAATTTTCACCTTTTTTTCCCTCTACATTTGAAATTAGACTATAATGGTGATTAGAATCGTGGAGGCTAGGATTCAAGACTGGGCTCAAAGCTGTGTATGCAAACCATGAGATTGGGTCGTGCTGGCACTGCAGCTCCTCAGAAGTATATCACCCATTCTCACCTCCTAAGGGTCTGTGGAAGAGGACTTCCAATGCAGGCAATATAGCAAGCAAACTCTGCAGTCTCCCCACACTCTTAGCATTACAGGATCCCAAGGAAGCCTGTGTTTCAGTAAACTTTGGGATTTGCCTCTAGATTCAACATGTGACTGCAGAGGTGTAAAGGGTTCCCTGATGTCCTATGGTCATCTGTGTCCATGCCCCCAGGCCTGTGCCAGCCAGCTAGCAAACTGCCTCTGTCCCGCTTACCTCTCTCTAGGAGAAAACCCGAGGGTGTATGGGCTTGGTGTCTGATCGTTTCTGCCACAGCAAAGGTTTTTGGTTCATTTGGGCACCAGGACGGCAGCTTGAATCACAGTAGGAGCAGGCAGGCTCTTAGGGCACTTGCTTATCCAAATCATGACTGTCCCCACTGCACACAGCTGGCTCTATGTCTGCAAGCTGCAGCTCATTTCTCCTCCTCTTTCACTTCCTGACACACTTCATTCTGGCCACAAAACATGAACTTTGAAGCATGATCCTATGATAGCAAACGCAATTGTGAAAGAACAACACCCAGGTGCACTCACAGCTGAGGAGGCTTGGTCAGAATGCCAGATATTTGTTCTTCTTTGCTTCTATGCTAACGCACCAACCCCCACAGCTGACGGGGGAAAAGTAAAACATCCCCTTCTCTACAATATTGCCAGACAGAAGTTTGAAGTGAAATATGGGAAGTGAGAGCTTGTGCAGGGACACAAGCTGTGAGTGGCAGGGACCCAAAATAACTCAGCTCTGCAGGCGTGTCAGTGTCTGCAGAAGGCAAAGACTATGAGCGTCCCTGTTGTTAGAAGTTGCAGGAGGCACGGTGCGGTGCTAGCAGAGCATGAAGGCTGGAATAGCAGGACACCAGGGACTCAGTACTGCCCACCACAGCTGCTTCCTGGTGACCTGCTTTTGCTTTGCAGGTTCTAGCACAGTGGAAAAGAATGGAAGTCACACCCCACCCACCATGTCCTTCCCCAGGACAGCTGCTGCCTGCTGTCCCAAGACAAGGAGCCATGCCCACAGGCTCCCAGAGGCTGTGGGCTGTCACAGCCTGTGTTTGACTTTCTCATACCCTGTGCCCCTTGTTCTGCCTCATGCAGGGAGCAGCGCAATGACAAATATATATCTTTCTGCTGCTTGTAAACCCTCAGAGGATACAATGGCACTCAAAATGCTGATCTCACCTGTTTTAATGTCTCTCTCTTTCAAACAGACCCCTTTCTCACTTCCTCATTGCTGGGATTTTTGTTCTCATGGCTGTTTGCGTCTTTGCAGTTCTCCCCAAGGCTTGAAGATAACTGGGGGTGGGGGTTTCCCCTTTGCAAAAAGTCCCTGCCGCTGTCTGCAGGGGCCTTGTGCCCCTCACTGCTTGCTCACACACGCCTCAGTCTGGCAGCCCAGGCGTTACCATTTGAGTCAGAGGAGGCCTCGCACTGTGGGCCTGCGCTGCCCCACAGCATCCCTCACCCCACGGGGATCACTCACCTCAGTGGCTTTCACACAGCATGAACAACCTGCTTCTGGGCCCAACTGCCCCTCGAGGGCTTCGCTTACAGGGGAGAGAAGGTACCCCGTCATTCCCCACTGCTGCCCAGCTGACAGCAGGTAGGACCAGATTTCCGGGATGTGTGTCGGAGGCTACACCCTGGTGCTGCAGATCCCAACATGCCTGATACCCTGCTGCGCCGGCTCCAGAAAGCGGGAGCAGGGACCAAAGCAAAGCTGGAAGGACAAGCAGAGAAATGAAAAGCTCCATTGCAGCTGCTTGGTTTTGAGGGGATGGCTGAGCACAAACGCTCTTCAGACCTCATTGTGTGAACAGATGTAGATGAGCACAGAAAAGGGGTTAACTCACATGTCTAATGTTTTTACTGTTGGTCGGGATGAGGGGATTGAGTGTATCCTCAGTGAGTTTGCAGGTTTCACCAACCTGGGAGGATATACCAATCTGCCTGAGGAGAGGAAGGCTCTACAGAGGGATCTGGACGGGCTGGATCACTGGGCTGAGGCCAATTGTATGAGCTTTAACAAGACCAAGTGTCAGGTCCTGCACTTTGCTCACAACAACCCCAGGTAAGGCTTGGGGCAGAGTGGCTGGAAAGCTGCATGAAAGGAAAGGATCTGGGGATGTTAGTTGAACATGAGCCAGCAGTGTGCCTGGGCAGCCAAGAAGGCCAACGCTCTGAAAGAGTTATCAGGGGTTGGAACAGGCTGCCCAGGGAGTCAACCAGTCCTCGAGGTTTTCAAGAAAATAGGCAATGTTGCTTTGAGTGAATATGATTAATTCTTATGGTGGTGGTGGGTGGATGGTTGGAGTAGGTGATCTTAGTGGTCTTTCCAACCTTCATGATTCTATGTGGGCACGCAGGGGAGGTGGAAGAAGCATAAAAAGGCCAGGCTCACTTTCTGAATAAGAGAGAAAAAGCTGAAATCTGGGCCTGCGTGAGGATTTTTACATTCCTGAGCCATCAGCACAGATGGAACTGGCCTGATGAAGTAACAGCAGTCTTTGTTCCCAGAAGGTTCCAGCCCTATGATCGTACAACCCACACACCCTACTGGGAAGAGGAGCAGCCACCACACTCCTTGCTGGGAGGAGGGCAGAAAACCCTCCTTCCTGCTGTGAAGGTCTGATGGGAGACCTGTCAGAGAAAGAGTTAAGAAGGTTGGGAAGCGGTTGGGCTGAGTCTGTTTGCTGTAGCAATGAGGGCTGCAGGGTAGAGAAGAATGTCCAGCCTGCAGGAGGCAGGTGAGGGAGTGTCAACAAGGGCAGCTGTGGAGCTGAGGGAAGTGCCAGGTCTTCCTGATTCTGTGCCCAGGGACTGACAGAGCAGGGAGATACACTGGCTACCAAAGGGCTGGGTGACAATGTGTTGATGAGCTGGTGCCTTTAGTACCAACTGCCTGATGCTGCCCAGGTTCTCTTGTATATAAATCTTTGCTCACTGCTGCTGGAGTGACTTGTCTACAGAGAAAGATGACCAGATCGTCTGTCTGTAGGACATCAGAGGCTGGGACTCAGGCACTGACACCACCCCTAGCCATGTGAGCTCCCTGGGAAGGATACTCACTCCAGAGACCCAGTTCAGAGCTCTCCCATTGGTCTACCAGAAATGTAGTGGGCAGTATTGCATAAACACCCTCAATCCAGAAGCTTTCTGTGGGCCACTCAATCTCTGATGCTGGTAGGCACACCAGCACTACCCACAGTCATCACCTGGTGCAGGGGCTGTGCTGTGCAGGATGGGATTCGAGCTGCTTCTTGGTGGCTGAAGGTAGAGTTTGGCCAGGACTAGGATGGAGATAGTGTGACTGTGTGTGTGATGCTGATCCCAGTGCAGCATGTCCTTGCTGTGACCTAGTTGCAAGTACACTTTGCACTCCTACTATCTGTATTGAAAAGTCACCTAGGGAGGTGCTGTTTGCAAAGAAACAGGCAGATCTGTAAGAAAAGGGTGGGAGAAGAAACCTAAGCAATACAAATGAGAGGGAGCATCTCTGGGAGCATAGAGGGAGAGAAGCAGTGACATTGAAGAATTGCAGATAGGGGAGTAGGAATGTCCAGTCTGGCACAAAGGAGGGTGCACATCCCCCTCCCTGCCCATTTTTACTCTAAAGTAAGGCTATAGAGGACTAATCCTCTGCCATCCTGCTCCACAAGTTCCACGCCGAGCAGATGTCCCTACAGGGGGCCCTCTAGGACACTGGTGACTGCACAGCTTTGGCAGGGTGGATGGAGGAGAAGGTCTGAGCATGCCGGCAGCAGGTAGAATCCATGGAGGCAGTGAGGCGAGGAACAGAGCTGGCTGTTGAGGAATGTCAGCATCAGTTTTGCTGGTGGAACTGTCCCACTCTGCTGGGGCTGCAGGTCTTTGGCAAAATTGCTATCCAAGATTAGCAGGACCAGTGGATGTCAGTGGGGCGGTCATGGGATCCATTCAGTGAGCCAGTGTGTCCTCTTGGAGCACGTGGAGTGCCTTTTTCCACATGCTAGTGGAATTGCTGACACAGCAAACATTGAACAGCATGCATGTGCTACTACAAATACTAATTTTCTGGTTAAACTTCATCATTTGGCCAGGCCTGGCTTTTAAATTGTGTCTGGATCACGCCAGGTGTCAGCCCTGCAGACTGGCAGATCTTGCCCCACCAGCCCTGCCCCCAGCCCTGCCCAGCCCCCCAAGCTCCCCTTTCAGTTGCTTACTCCTCTTCCTCAATGGCACATGGGTCCCAGGAGCTGATGGTGCCACAGGCTGAGCCAAAAGCACCTGCATAGCAGTCTTTCTGACTCTAGGCCTTGAGGACCATGGCACTGGGTGAGCACCCTGATGGTTCTCCTAAGCACTCTCCATCTGAATGCATCCATCATGCATGCAGTAACAACCTCTCTCTCCTGCTGCATCCCACCAGTGCCTTCCCCTTCTCCATAACTGAGTGTCAGAGCTCAGCAGGCCTGTGCCTTTTCTCACCTTGTTTCAGGCAAGTGGGAGGCTGCCTTCATTCATGCCATCTCCTCAGGGGGTTTTGTCTTTGCTGTGACTCATGCCTGCTGCTGTGGGGAGCTGCAGAAATGTGGTTGTGACCACAAGATCTGAGGTGATGAAGGAGTCCGGAGACAGAGATTGGGTGGCACAGGACAAGGTTCATGGGAGAGGATCACCAGGGGATGAGAGGCAACATTTTGTTTCACAGTCAGTCCTCAGCCCTTCTGGCATTCCCCCCAGGGTTTCTCACTCTTTGTCTCATTGTTGGTTTCCCCCAGCAGGTTTCCAGTAATCAGGCTGCTCTGATAACCTCTCTTATGGGATTGCTTTTTCTCTTTGTGGACAACTCTGAGAAGAGCCATGGGGTGTCCTCCAGCCAAGCTCTCATGAACCTTCACAATAATGAGGCGTGGAGGAAGGTAAAGGCAGGAACAAAAGCTGGGAAGCAAGCCCACTTTCTAGAGCTTCCTCTTGGCTGGGCAGAGCTTTGTCCAGTCCCTTATTCAGAGTAGAAATCTGGGGAATCCATGAACTCACAGAGCAGGTTTGTGTCCTGCTCCTTTCCCTTTCTCTCCCTTCTCTTTTTCCTACCCCTCCCATCCCCTCCCTTCCTTTCCCTTCCCCTCCCCTTTCCCCTTTTCCCATCCCTTTGACTAATCTTGCCCTGATGTCGCCATTCTGGCCTCATGAGAAGCCTGCTGGGGAAGTCATTGCTTAAAGCCCACAGGAACAGGTGCCCCACAGGTTGTCTCTGTTCCATCTGGCAGCTGTCTTCTGCTTCCCCATGCCCTTACACATGAAGGTGGAGTGCAAGTGCCATGGCATGTCCTGTGAGGTGTGCACATGCTGAAAGGTCATGCCCCCTTCTGCAAGTTGGACTACGTCCTGGATGAGAAGTTTTGAGAGAGTAGTAGAGGTTCACTCCCAATGAGTGAGTTCCTGCAAGCTGTTGGTGTCCAAGAGCAATTGTTTCAAGTCTTACACAGATCATGACCTGGTTTATCTGTTGGCCAGCCCAGACTTCTGTGATTGGAAGTCCTGGTGTGGGGCCTTTGGCACTTCTGGCCACCTGTGCAACAGGACATCTGCAGCCATGGATGATGGCGATCTCCTGTGCTGCTGCAGGGGCTTCCGTGCAGCCCAGGCTGAGGTGGTGGAGCAGTGCCAGCACCTGGTGGAGGTGCACAACTGCTACTGGTGGGGCAGTGGGGCTAGATGAAGACAACAGCCCAGAGAGGCCCACTGCATGGGGGGGGAAACAGGGAAAGGTGTAGGGAAAGCCTGCTCCCTGCTTGGCACTCGGTCTTCAGCCTTGTTGGACTTTTTGTGGTTTAAATTTATTTTCAATACAGAGTTGGAGGACACAGGCCCCAGAAACCTTTAAACCTTAGAAGTAAAGCAGCTGTCAAAGAAAGCAAAGAGTTTACATTAACTCCTTCCTCACAAACTGTTTAAGACCTGCAGGACACCTGGCTTTGCCTCTGCTGGGGCTGGCAAGGTGAGATGCCATGCTGGAGGCCTCATCCTCAGAATATTATCACCCATGGCATGTGTGCTGCAGTGAGTGAGAGCCACCAGTGAGCCATGCAGGAGCAGGTGGAGAGCCACCTCCAACTAGAGAGGTCGCTGTGGATGTGACAAAGTGGCAGAAGCAGAGAGAAAGGAGCAAATTAGGTTTATGGGCTCTTTATAAAATACGATTCAGCCTTGGTAATGCTACTGATTAATGTCAATCTGCAGGGTCAGGAAGGCTAAGGGTTGCTGGGGACTTCATGCAGGTGGCTCTAAATCCATAAACTGGGGACAACACCTTTCCCAGGCTCCTTCATCTGGAGAAAACCTTTTCAAGAGGAGTTTCAGTGGGCAGCAGGGTGAAATGCTATTGGATGCAGCTCCTTTCCTGATGTGCTGCTGTCAAGGATGCAGAGTAGGTGCCCAAGTGATGAGATTTGGCCATGGACTGATCAGCAAGGAGCCTGGAAAGAGCTGTTTGGGTTCTCTGCACTGCCAGAATTCCATGCACCTGTTACACATTGCCCACCACTGCACCTCATCCTTCAGTGAGGCTGAGGAACCTCTGGTGCCAGCGCATTACTTCCTCTTTTCCCTCTTCCTCACTCAGAACGTGGTAGGTCTGGTTTGTGAAGCAGCCATGGCGAATCACCTGAAAGAAGAGCTTGAGTTTGTTTCATAGAGTTGGAACCGCCACAATTCCTAAAATATGAGATAGTCCTCTGTTCAACTCTGGGGTTCTGGGCTTTGTTACCAGTAGGAAGTTGGTGTATGGGGGAGATTCTCCTTTGTGAGAGGGAATATAAGGACAACCTAATGGATGGAAGGTTTCCCATGGCTACCTATCTTGACACTCTGCAGTCATGTATCAATGCCTCTGCAAATCCCACTGCTGTTGGTACCCACCCCATACACACCCAATTCTGTCCTTTTGGAAGGAAAAGTACTGACAGATGAGGTTCTGCAGGGACTCGGGTCTTCTGTGCAAGCATGAATCAGGCTGCCCAGTGAGGTCGTGGATGCTCATCCCTGGAGATGTTCAAGGCCAGGCTTTGAGAAACCTGGTCTAGAAGGTGGTGTCCCTGCCTATCATGAGGGGTTGGAACTAGATGATCTTAAAGGTCCCTTCCAATCTAAACCATTCTGTGATTCTATGCCCAGCCATGGAGGAGAAGGCAAAGGCTAAGTAAGGGATGGCAGAGGCAGCTTCTTACCCTCTGGTTGTAGAGGCTGTGCTGCAAGCACTGGTGGCTTTTGAAGGCGCAGTAAGTGGGGTGCTGAACTCCACCCGAGTCACAGATCTGTGGAGATGGGAATGAAAACCAGAGAAAAGAGAGGAGAAGGAGAGATGGAGCACACTCCCAGCACCCACCTTGCCTGGGACATCCCCCGCTTGGAAGGTTGCATATTCTGCCTGCAGCCAGAGCATCACACGAGGATCATCGCAGCCCCGGGCGGCTATCAGGCTGCACCAGTATTCTGGTCGCAGGCCTCCAGAAACCTGTGCACCAAAATACTCCGAGGGCTCTGGGAAGCTGGTCTGCAAAGGGGTGGGATGAAAAGAGCCATGCGTTTCTCCCTCCTTCCCCACCACTTTGACCATCTCCTTCCTCGCAGGCCAGAAGGAGATGCAGCATGCTCGGTACCTTGTTGCCTGCAGCCCGGTGCTGGGTTGAGATCTGGGGGTTGATGTATGCGATGAAGCTGCCTGTCTTGCAGTGAACACGCCTCAGGTTGTAGATGTTCTGGCACTGCTCCATTTTCAGTGAGCAGAAAGCACAGGCAGGGCATAGGTCCATATGCTGCCTCCCAAGGCTGTCACACACCTAGGGAGGTGTGATGGTGCGGTCAGGGGGAGAGGCTGGGGAGCCTGGATCCCTGGTGTGGGTTTGCCTCACTGGCTCAACTGGGTTGGCTTCTCCCGGGGTGGCACCTGTAATGGCAGTGCCTACAAGCACTGCAGTCAGTACTACAGGGAGCCCTGCCCACAATGGGGGTCGAAGGTGGGCAGCAGCATCTTTACCGAATCTCCGAACCCAAGGATTTTTTCTTCCAACTCCTTCCATGCCTGGGTGACAACTGAGGAGACACAGACTCCCTCCAACACTGCATAGCACAGGATCATCACTGCTTCCTTCCTCTTCAGGGCAAGAAGACTGGCAGAGAAAGGGATGAAGGAGGTCAGTTCTCTTCCCTTGTCATGAGCTAAGATAAGCCCTTAGGTAAAAACAGAAGGGGAGGAAAACTGGCCTGACACAAAATAGAAAAACCTTTCTGAGAAAGCCTTGGCCAGCCTGCACAGTGAGTGTGCCAGCATGGTCTGCCTGTGCCTTTGCCTGTGCAACATGGAGGGGGGGCTTTCAGAGGGACTGGAGGAGGAGCACAGCTTCAGGGATTTTCCCAGTATCACCAAAGCAGCTGCTGTGTAGTTTTATCTTTACAATGGCACAGCAAGATCTTTGTTAGAGTCTGCTGAGCGCCAATTATGGGGCAGTCCCATTGTGGTCTGGAGAATACTATGTCTCTCTTCTGCTTGAGCCAATGTTTTTGATGGAAAGAGGAATTAATTGGTAATAATGGTGGTGAATTAACTGTTCATCCAAACTCATACAGGAAGTCACAGGTAGAAAACAGGATAGTAGGATAACAACAGTAAGAATGTTTTACATCTTAGGAACAGCAGAAATTGTAGGTTATTATACAAGAATCATGTGAATTATCAACAATGATGCAGAAGACATAAAAACACTCGTTAAATATTTCTTTCCTGTAACCAGGGAAAAGTCCCAGCGATAAACAGATGAACAGGCAAGAGCAGCAACTGCTGATGTTAAAATGTTCTTGCAATTCATTCATGTGCTAATGGGTAAGGAGGAGTTTCCCTGAGAGTGGCTGAGACCTCAGAGAATGGATGGGGGAACCAGAGGAAAGTCATTAAGGTGAGATTTCCTAACACCTGGAAAACATTCACAGAGTGAGAAGCTAAGGGAGCCAGGTGTAGCTGAGTGAGGGCACTGCTGAGTGAGCACTTGGTTAGACTGCACTTCTGCCTGCTCCTGAAATGAAGAGAGGCTTCAATGGTGACATGATTTCTCCATGTCTTGGAGGCTTGATAAAGATAGCCCAAATGTGAGTTAGGAGTGGGGCTGTAGGCAGAAGTAATTATCCAATGCCCCAACAGCTCACAGTGAGCAGCAGCAAGCGAGCATGTCAGGATCTCTGAAGTGCCTCTGAAGGCACTGCTCTCATTTAGATACTACAAGAGAACCTGGAAAATCTTGGTCACAAAAAATGTCTCCATGCTATTTTTTTTTTAAGATGTTATGGTCAAAATTGTTTTTATCAGAGTGCTGCAGATGTTGCTTGAGCCTGCATCAAGACAAGAGAAGGTGTTCCTTCAACACATGGTGTTGTGCTGCACTCTGGACAGGCTGCAAATAGGATTCAGGCGCACGAACAAATTATAGTGGTGCCAACCCACAGCACATCAACAACATCCACTGAAAAAATGAAGGCACTTCAAAACCTAGTAACTGATGTATTGCAAGACTGTGTATCTCTCACTCCAGTACAACACAGTACAACTGGCCTGGTTGGATGTTTTAGGAGGAAAGATCAGAGCAGAGAAGGAACAAAATGGTGGTCAGGTGAAATCTCTAGTGACTGGAAAAAAGGCAATGTCACACTTACTTTTAAGATGGGTAAAAGGGTGACCCAGGGAACTACCAACCTGTCAGCCTCATCTCTGTGTCAGGGAACATCATGTAGCAGATCCTTCTGGAAGCTATGCTAAGGCATGTGGAAGAGAGGGAGGTGATACAGGATAACCAGCATGGCTTCACAAAGAGCAGGTTCTACCTGACAAATCTTGTTTTTTGTTACAGCATAACTGCACTGGTGGACAAGGAAACAGCCACTGATGTCATCTACCTGGACTTCAGTGAGGCCTTTGACATGGTCTTTCATAACATCCTTCTCTCCAAATTGGAAATTGATGGGTGGACTGTTTTATGGTAACTGATAAGAAATCTTACTCAGAAGCAGTCAATGGCTCAATGTTTGGATAGAGATTAGTGGCAGGTGATATTTCTCAGGGGTCAGTACTGAGACCAATGCTCTTTAATACCTTCAGCAATGACATTGATCGTGGGATCAAGTGCACCCACTGCAAGTTTGTAGATGATGCCAAGCTGAGCAATTGACATGGCCAAAAGACAGAATGACATCCAGAGAGACCAAGACAGGCTTAAGAAGTGGGCCCAGGTGAACCTCATGAGATTCAGTAAATCCAAGTGCAAGGTCTTGCACCTGGGTTGCGGCAACCACTGCTGTCACTACAAACTGGGGGATGTAATGATGAAGCACAGTCCTGTCAGAAAGGGCTCGGGGTATTGGTGGATAGCAAGCTGGATATGAGTCAACCATGTGCCCTTGTGGCCTAGAAAGCCAACCATATCCTGGGCTGTATCAAAAGGAGCATGGCCAGCTGACTGAGGGAGGTGACCCAGCCCCTCTGCTCTGTGCTAAGACCTCACCTGGAGTACTGCATCCAGCTGTGGAGTTGTCAGCACAGGAGAGACATAGACCTCTTGGAGTGTGTCCAGAGGAGGGTCACAAAAATGACCCAAGGGATGGAACAACTCTCCAACAAGTACAAGCTGGGGCTGTTCAGTCTGGAGAAGAGATGGATCTGGGGAGACTTGAGGATGGCCTTTCAAAAGGGGGCTATGAGAAAGAAGGGGGCAGGATCTTCAGAAGGGTCTGCTGTGATGGGACAAAGGGAAATGGTTTCAAACTAGAAGATGAAAGATTTAGATTGGATATAAGGAACATATTTGTAAGATAAGAGTAGTGAGATACTGGAACAGGTTGCCCAGAGCTGTGGAGGAAGCCCCATCCTTGGAGACATTCAAGGTCGGCTTCACAGGGCTCTGAGCAACCTGATTTAGGTTGCAGATGTCTCTATTCATTGCAAGGAAGTTGGACTATATGACCTTTAATGAGCCCTTCCAACTCAAAAAATTCTATGATTCTATGAAAAGAATGCAAACTGAGGAGAGGAGTGACAGGTAGCAATACTGACAAAGCTGGAAAGAATGAAAATGTGCCAGCACAAAGAGAAACAAAGTCCATGTACTATGGAGAGCACAGTTCCAAAACCTGTAAGATCTTTTATGTCTACTCCTACATCCCACGAGTCCATATAATCTCTCTTTTTTCTTTCTTTCTTTCTTTTTTTTTTTTATTCCTTTCTAAACACTCACAGGAAAGCTTTTGAAATGTAAGCAAAAAGTCCCTCTGGTCTGTGCTGATCCCAGATGAGGATCCTGCCTGTGGCTGTTTAATACAATCTCTTCAGTATTTCACTGTGACTGAGCGCTGGGCTTCCCTGGGAGAGCAACCAGGGCCAGCCCCTGGGTGCACCTAGTACTGCTTCTCTGTAGAGAAGTGCTCTTTGAGTGAGAATTACCAAACATTTAGAGTTTATCTCTAGAGCAGTTGCTGCAGAGCAGCCCAAGAGAGCCAGATTTCAGTCTGCTGTGCTGATAAGTCTATGACAGCTGAAGACAGTCTCTGCCAGAACTCAGATCCTGGCTGCTCAGTTACAGCTGGATCTTAGGCTTTAAACACTGGCAAGCTACCTGAATCAGCTTGGTGGGATTCGTACTCTTTGATTAATGAACCTGACATTATTCTCCAAAATTACCTGAAACAATTTACCTACACATATATCACTGTTGTTTCACTATTCGTTTGATATTCTAGTGGCATGTTTTGATTTTATTGCTTCTTTATCATACCAGCATGACCAAACCATTAAAGTGAGAAAGACATTTACAGTCATTAAAGATGATATGAATAGCTCCAGTGTTTCCATCACCAAGATAGAAAAAGGTCTTGCTTGCTGTATTTTAAAGAAAAAAACAACAAAAAAGGATAACAATAACATGAAGCTTAGAATGTGTTTGCTACTAAGAGGTTTCAACAGCCCTTTGCTTTTTCCCACACAGTACTAGTGCAGCAAGTGCTGCCCAAGCCATATGCAAAGAACTAGAGGCAGAAGGGTAATGAAAGAGAACTCAGCTCCCATCTTCTTTAAAAAGAGTGCTTCCATAAGCAGCTAATAAGCAGCAATAAAGCATCTGCTGAATGTTGATGACCTACTTGTCAGAACAGACTCGAAGTCAGGAGTGGGCAGAAGCCTGTGCTTCATGACAAACTTCATAGATTCATAGGCTGTACTCAGTATGGCCTAACTACAGATACAGATCAGAACGCCTCACTCTCCTGAGCACTACTCACTGACTTTGCTGGTGACCACATATGCAGAAGCACAAAACAAGGTGCTATAGCATCCTCTCACTCATAGAGGAAATAGAGTCATGTTGTCAGCCTGAGGCTGACAAGAAATTATGTTGCTCTTGCTTTCACATCTATTTTCAGCTCTATCTCTGTTTTACATCTCTGCTCTGAGGCTGGCTGGCCTTATGGTTGCAAGTTGGGTTGGTTTACCAGCCCTGTTTTACCAACACTAGGTGCACCTGGGCCACTGCTGGTTTCCTTCCCAGAGACCACAGATCAGAGATGTTCCCTGCTGCTACTCATGGCAGCACTGAGGCTCTTGGTCTGATCACAGAGACCTTAGAGCAGTGGTGAAGACCCAGCCCAGCCTAACAGCACTGCTGCCCGATCCCTGTACTCATCAACACACTGCTGAGCATGGAAAAGGCTGCTGGAAACGTTGGAAATGTTGAAGACCTGTCATGGGAATACAAGCTCAGCTTAGCACCTCTGCACCATAACGTCATAACTGCTGTCCTGGAAAATGTTTAACAATTCTTATAGGCGATGTCTCAAAGGGAAAGTGAAAAAACACAACTGAGAAAATTCATCTAAGTCAGAAAGTTCATCTAAGTCACAGAATTCCTCTGTGACAAAAAGACAAAACTTTGGATAAAAGCCCATCTTGCGTTAGTGACTTGAGACATGGAGCAACATATCTCAGCCTACTTCACTTTTGGGGTGTCGCTGAGGAGGGCTGGTTGACAACATGCACCTCTCCCTCAACGTAATGAAAAGAATTTGGGCCGTTACTGTGCAGCTGCTGAACATCTCCGATATCAGCATGTGGCAAACAGGAGAGAAGGAGCAAACAACGGATTTGCAACTTCTGACTTTCGGGGATTGCTGCAGGAAACCAAAACCACTAAGGGAAAGATGCTGTTAACAGATTCAGAAAGAAAAAGATACATATATTTTTCTTTTAAAGCATATCTCAAGTAAGACATGGCATGGTTATAACGTGTTGAAGCCAAAAAGGATTTGTTGACGTGTCATGTAACCCACAACAGTAAATATCTTACATCTTATTCATAACAGGAGATGTTTAACAGTACATACTAGGAATAAATCTTTTTGAGTCAGTGAGTCTGAGAAATCTCTCTCAAATTCTTAGCATGAGGGCTGAGGGGATTTCCAGCCACCTGACATCACCTCAGAGTGCCAGAGATGTCTCAGCAGCCTGTGTGTGCCCCAAGACCAACAGTGCAAGTCAGCTGACAAGTGCTGGACACAGGAGTCACTGGGAATGTGGGGCATTACTCTGTCTTGGTCCATGCACCAGGAATCTGGCTGTGTCAACAAGACTTGGGATGCTGAATGGGATGCAGGGGTCATACAGACAAGCACTGTAGCAGCAGGAAGTTCTGGAAAAGGGGCAAGGCAGTTCTTGTGTTGACATCCTCCAATGTGTTGCACTGTGTTGCTGAGTGGTATGTACAGACCTGGTGCATGTTGTTGTCCAAAAGGGATGATGAAATTTGCCACAGAAATGAGAGTTGCAAGGCTTTATCATGTGAGCTACAGAGCTCTGCTTAGATTATTCCAGAATTGAAGAAGGGCATATAGGGAACTGTGTGGAGAAGAAATACAAGGAGGTAAGAAGCTCTTTAATTTTGAGGCAGAAAGCAAAATAAGAATAAAAAAAAATGAAAATAGATACAATAAACTGCATCTTTTTTTCTCCATAATGAATCACTGATAGCAGAAACAGTACATAAGTGTGCTTTGAGTTCTCAAACTTGTTATTTTGCTGTCATTGCCATCTCTCCCTCAAGGTCACCACCAGCCTCACTGAGTAGCACAGAGCAGCTGCCACAGGGAGGGCCAAGTGAGGAGGGATGGGAGTCCCACTGGACATGAGCCTGCAGGGCAGCCGTGCATCCTGGGCCCAACACCCAGGTCACAGCTACACACGCCTGGTGTTAAACCCCGTGCTGAGCAGGACCCTGTGTGCCAATAAGTCCTACCCATCACTGCAGGAATGGAAATGCCTCAAAGCATGGTGCCCTTGTTTTAGGTCATGCTTTGAAGTCCCTTGGAGAAGAGGCAGGATGTGGCAAGCAGTAAAGCTGACAGGCGCAGCCTAGCTCCCCTTTTTATCTCGCTTGAGTTTAAGCTTTGCTTAGCATGATTGATGGCACTCGGCTGTCAGGTTGCAGACACAGTCAGCATTAGTGTCTTTGAGGAACCCTGCAACAGAATAACGAGTGTCATCTGCAATCACAGCGGTCCCTCTGTAATCCCAATATAACTGAATCAGAGCAAGGCTCAATTTTGAGGCAGGGAAAACAAACATATCTTCAGTGAAGCATAATTTTGCCTTAGACTACATACACCAGGAAATGTTTGCTGGGCAGTAAAAGCCTCCTACAGTGTTAGGAAAGAGGATGACACAAGTTACAACCTTGTAAGAGAACAGTTATGGTTTTAAGAATTTGATGCAATTACATGGAGAAGTGGGATCTCAGGCTTAACTCTAGCAGCACGTGGTGTTTTCAGAAGACACCACATGTGCAGTCATGCACAAAGCGATGCACTTACAGGAAAGTCACTGTTCCGAGTCAAAGTCTCTGTTCCGAGACAAAGAATGAAATGACATATCTATGAAAATCATATCCTCTGTACCAAAGTACGGATGGACCAAAAACAGATGTGAAGGTAAGAAAATGTTGCTTTGCAGACCTTTTCTGTTTGGGCTCAGCAACCCCACCTGCCTGAACAGTGATGTGGATGGATCCTCTCAGGTCATCGCTAGATCACAGGAGCAGAGAAGGATGCAAGAAATGTCTGCAACAAGCTGGACTGTCACAGGTCTGGAGTAGGCCTGGTGTAGGAGCAGCTTTGCTCTTGCAAAGTGATAAAATGCAGATGCTCTCAAAGCCAGAACTACAAACAACCCAGGGAGAGCAGTGCTCAAATCCAAAGCATGAAGACATGCATGTGCTTGAAAAGCAATACAGGTCCTGCCAAGGTAGGAGCAAGGCTCTGTGTTCCCTGGTCCTGGGTTGAGTGAAAACAGAGCAACTCTCAGAAATCTTCTCAAGCCAGGCTGTATGAAGAAATACCTGCTTGATACTGTGTGCAGGGCAGCATAGAGATACAGTGGTGTCTTCCAGAAACCCAAGGCACTGTGAGTGTAAGGAAGCACCTCCTGCAGGTTGCCCGGTTTGTCAGTAGCTGGAAGCTGGGAGGAGGGTGAGCGCAGTGTGGGGAGGTGAAGAAGGCAAAGCCCTTCCTGCATGCAGCTCGGGCTCAGCCAAAATGCAATTTTTCATGACTCATGTCACCAGGACAGCAACAGAACACAGAACAGTAACGGAACACCTATTAGCAATGCTCACTCTGTGCTCAAGCAAGGGCAGGGAGGTGTCCAAGGGACTGCTCATGCAGGAACACCTGCTCTGGATGGGGCTTGCTTCTCAGAGCTCACCCCCATACTCAGGGCAGGGCCACTGGCCATGCTGCTACTAACACATGAGGAACAATCTGTGTGCATGGTACGTGGCAATCACCACTGCACCAAGTGTGGAGCTGAGTCTGCCTCACCTGCCAGGGGGGGCCATGTCTTGCATCTTCTCCTTTGCACCGGTGGTCACGCTCCCCAGATCTGAAGTGACGGCAGGGACTTCTGTGCCCGCCGCGGTCTCCAGGGAGAGGGCTGCACTGATAAGCTGCCAGACGCCACGCTGCAGGCGGTGCTCCCAAGTGCTCTCTGCCCAGGCATGGGATTGTGAGGGGGCAGGGGTGGGTGGCACTGGCAGGGCAGATGGTGGTACAGGTGGGCCCTTGTCCTGCAGGGATCTGGGCACCACTGGCATGGCTGGTGGGATCTTCCGCACCAGTGGTTTCTGACTTGAAAGTGCATAGGAGTACTTCAGAAGCATGTCCACGTTGGAGTGCAGATGGAGGTCAGCAGGAGAAAGAGGCGGCTTCTCTGGTACTGGGGAGAGAGCAGAACAGGAGGGTTGGGAGCCACTCCAGCAGTTATTCTCCAGGAGCATGGAGGGCACCCTTCTGAGCGCAGCCATATAGCTGCCTCCCCCTCTTAGCAGAGCCATGACCATTCTGCACAGGTGCTTCCTGATGGACTGGGACTATTTTTGCCAGTCTCACAATCCTTCACAAAATCACAGCATGGCTGAGGCTGGCAGGGCCCTCTGGATCATCTGGCTCAAGCCCTGTTCCAGCAGGGACACCCACAGCAGGTGCCCAGGCCCACCTTCAGGTGCCTCTGGAGATCTCCAAGGAGGAGACCCCACAGCCTCTCTGGGCAACCTGTGCCAGTGCTCCATCATCTGCACAGCACAGAAGTGCTTCCTGGCATTCAGAGGGAACATTCTGTGCTCCAGTTTGTGCTCACTGTCTCATGCTCCTCAATCACAAGACTCATTCACAAGGCCAGGAAGAGGGAATTTCCTAGGCAGTGTGCTGACATGACAGCACCTGCATGTCTACCAGTCCCACAGCACAGCATAGACCCAAACCTCACATCCAGTGTTTCTGGAGGGAAGAGCAGCTATGGACAATCATCAGGCAATCAGAGGCACTCAGAGCCATTCAGTGCATCCATACCTGCTTCTGTAGGAGAGCTTTCATCTTTTGCCCAAAAGTCCACATCATAAGGTTGCTGCTCTGGATGAAGAAGGCCTTTTGGAAAAAAACTCGGACATGGGATTCGCTGAGTGGAAAAGACAGAAGTAAGAATCCCTTCCCTTCCCTTCCCTTCCCTTCCCTTCCCTTCCCTTCCCTTCCCTTCCCTTCCCTTCCCATCTACTCTCCCTGCATTCCTTTGTTTTGTCTCTTGCTTGCATGCATCTGCTCACAGCACTATTTAAAACAACATGCATTTTCAGAGGCATGCGCAAGATTCTGTACAACGGTATCTGTTGTCTGTTTTCTGTATTCTTCTGTTCTGGCCCCTTCCTTCTCCCAGGTGATGCTTCTCTCTCATGGCCCAAGTCCCACTGCTCACCTTGACATAGAATTTGCGCTTGGAGCAGCGATACTGGGCAAACTGGCAGAAGGTCTGAAACCGTGGTGCCTCAGGGAAGGCAGAGCAGACAGGTCCTAGGGATGGGTGAGAGAGAAGGGAGGTGGGGGCAGGCCTCGGGACCAGCCAGAGCATGACTGGGATCAGCATCTCTCAGAGAGAGGCTTATTTTCAGAGCATGCTTGTGATGAACGGAAAGTTAAAGCTGCCCCCAGGTGGAAATCGCAGTTTGGTACTGCTAAAACTCCTGACATTTGATGCCACATGTTTCGCTATGCACCCCCCAGCGGTTCAGTTCACCCATCTGCCCTTATCTACATGGCATCTTCCTTTCTACAGAAATCCAAACCTCCTGTTTGCAGGACACAATAAGGATTCTTATTATTCACTAAATCACAGAATGGTTTAGGTTAAAGAGGACATCTGAATGTCACCCAGTTCAACGCCCTGCTCAAGCAAGGCCACCTAGAGCACTGTCCCTGAAAGGTGAAAACATACAAGGCAAGTAGCAGTGGTAGGTTAAGAGATGACCAGACCAGATCTGGGATCACCAGGGAAGACAACCTCTACAAAACAAAATACATAGGTCACTCTGAAAGTAGTGCTTCCTATTTATTTGTATGGAAACTATAACTGATACAAAGAGCACAGTAACACCATTTGATAGAGCAAATTCTCTTCTACAAAACACTATTTTTCAACATAGTCACCACCATTAGCTAAGCATTTTCGCCAGCAGTGAACAAGAGCCTGCATGCTGTGCTTGAAAATATCTGCACCAGTGGAGATGACCCAGTGTTCCACAGCTGCTACAACAACATTGTTGCTAGGAAAATGTTGCTTATGCAGATCATCTTTCAGTGGCTCAAACAAATGGAAGTCAGAAGGCATCAATTTTGAACTATATGGTGAGTGTGGTAGGACAGTCCAGCCAAGACTGGCAATGTATTCCATGGTCTTTCAACTGGCATGGGGCCTGGCATTACTGTGTTGTAAGAGGAAGGTTGTCTTCTTTTCTGTCCTGACTTTGGAAGTTCAAGCCCTCAGCTTAGTAAGCATTGTGATGTAGTGGTAGGAGTTGATGTTTTGTCTGAGTTCCAGAAAATGCAGAAGGCTCCCCCCTTTCCTATCTTAAAAGACAATGCACACTACTTCACCCACTGAGGGATATGTCTGAAACTTTTTCTTTGATGGAGAATTCACTATGGATTGCTGTTTTGATTCCAGCTCATAGAGATGACACCCCATCTTGTCACCATTAATGATATGATCCAAGAAACTGTAATCTTCAGTCACGTATTGGTTCAACAGGTCCCGAAAAACTTGCGTGCAGTGTTCTTTCTGTTCCTATATGAGCATCTGTGGATCCACTTGGCAAAAACTTTCTGATATTCCAACGTTGCCACCATCATTTCCAATGCATCACAGATGATATTCAGCTTCATACACAGTTCCCTAGTTGTGATCCACTGATTCACACGGATGAACTGATTGAGATGCTCTTCATTTCATGATGTGACAGCTGTGCATGAATGTCTGGAATGTGGCTTGTCTTTCACATCACTGTCGCCTCTGCTGAAATGCACCACCCACTGCCTCACTGTGCTCACATCCACTGTTTGGTCTCCATAAACATTCAGCCAGCATTGGTGAATGCTAATGGATGCAATTTTTTCCCACATAGAGGAATTCAGTGACATACCTTTGCTTCATCTTCACGCCCATGTCAGACTCCATTTTGTCACCCTGCCCCTCTGCTGCCCTCTGTAGCATGGCAACAAAATGTAATAGAATATTGGCAGGGAGGTTGAGTCTCTACTGCCATACCAGCAACGTCCATCCACCTTTGACATTGATGGTCAAAATAAATAATAAAATAGGAAGCATTACTTTCAGAGCAGCCCTTGTAAGTTTGTAGTGATTCTAGCCGTACCAGGGTTAGTGGAAAGTCCAACATGCTGTGGGCAAAGTCTGTGCTTGTGCACACCTGTACAACAGCTTTTTGAGGGCACTGCTTACCTTACTGGCTCAAATCTGCAGCCCAAAACCCTGGGAAATTTTGGGAAGGAGGTGATTTTGTGCTCCATCTGCTCTGCACATGCATGAGCAGAGCAATTCCATGACTGCCTATGTCTGCAGGAGAGCTTAGAGCTCGACGTGCTCACCATTTTGGTCTGTGTCCTGCCTTCAGACAAACACCAAAGCTCCTCCAGCCATCCTGCCCACTCCTGCAGCATTCTGTGAGCCCACAGAGAGTGGAGAAGCCACTCAGGAGCCTCCTGGCTCCTCTGGAACCCAGAAGAACTCTTTGTGGTCCCAGCAAAATGCAACACCCTCAATCCAGCTACGTGTAAGCAGGTAGGGAAAATTTTAGAGAGAAAAGTGTCTTTGGGAACCCTCAGAAAACAACACAGTGACTGCAGGTCTGGTCCCTGCAGGCCTGCCAGGGGGGTTCAAGCACTGATGGAGGTGGTAGAGATGGGTTTTTTCAGCATGCATTGCGCAGAAACCAGAGCATCCCATTCTGCCATGTTATTAGCTTAGAGTTGGCTGTTAATTTTGAGAAAAGCAACGGGCAGATCCAAACATGAAGATGATCAGAAATCAGGGAGGACAGACCTGTCGCATCATACGGAGGCAGATACAGGCAAAATGCTGAATAAGTCAGCGGTCTTCAAAGGAAGTGAGGAAGGTTTAAGGTTCTACATGCAAAAAACATGCTGAAAACACCACAGGTATTACCTGCACCTGAGGCTGATTACTTGAGAAGCTGCTCTCTGCCATGCAGTAAGCAGGAGGCCATAGACCTGTCTAAATGGTACCTCTTCTCTTGCGCTTAGCATAAAGATTCACCAGCAAAAATACAATTTCAGCTGTTCATCAGGAACCAACTTGACTGAAATGAACCTGACATCTCCCTGCCCTTTGCCTTTTCTCTGAATCCTCTGACATTCTTGCCAGGAGGAGACCTTCCAGCACTGTTAATTTAATGCATAAAATCTTTTACTTTGTTCCTGTGCTCATCCTGCCCATTTGCTTGCTGCAAACAGCTACAGCTTCTGCTGGATCTCAGGAGGCTTGGGCTTTGTGGCCAACTCCATGTGCAGGAGCTCCAAGTCCTGAAGGGTTTCCAAGTAATAAGCAATTATTTTACAATTACATCTTCACTGAAAGATGGAGCCAGCCAAGTTACTTTTACACCTGTGTTAGGAAAACTTCCTCTTGACACAGTTCATCCACGTAACAGAACACTAGGAGGTTACATGTACATTTCACAGAATCATAGAATCATAGAATCATAGAATCATAGAATGGCCTGGGTTGAAAAGGACCATAGTGATCATCTAGTTTCAATCCCCCTGCTATGTGCAGGGTCACCAACTAATCAGACCACACTGCTCAGAGCCACAATGGCTTAGGCTAGAAGGGATCTAAAAGTTCCACATCTGCCACAGGGAAGGGCTGCCACCCTGGGCCCTGCTGCCCTATGCCCCATCCAACCTGGCCTTGAACATCTCAAATGATGAGGCATCCACAGCTTCGCTGGGCCGCCTGTGTCAGTGCCTCACCTCCCCGAGTGAATCATTTTTCCTAATATCCAACCTAGATTTCCCCTCTTTTAGTTTAAAGCCATTCCCTCTTGTCCTATCGCTATCTGTCCATGTAAAAAGCTGGTCTTCCTCCAGCTTATAAGGCCCCTTTAAGTACTGGAAGACCACAGAGTGGTCTCCCTAGAGTCTTCTCCAGTCTGAACAAGTGCAGCTCCCTCAGCCTTTCTTCATAGGAGAGGGTTCTCCATCCCTCTGATCACCTCCATGGCCCTGAACTTCCCTTCTTTAAAGCACGACATAACTGCTTTCCTGAGCACCACATGTGAAGAAGCACAGTCAACACTCACGAGTGCCAGGACTGCCCAAGTCCTTGTAGGCAGTGGCTAAGCTGCCCGTGTGGCTTCAGCAGTGGGTCCCTGCTACAAGAGAAATGCAGGAGGCTTCAGAGCGAGATAGATGGGGATCAAAGATGTTGGTCAACAGACACCAACCCCCTCTGCTGTCAGGGGTTGGGTACCGGGAAGTGAGAGACCCAAAGCAGAGCAGCAGTGGGAATGTCTCCAACCACTAGGATGGTGGCTTGGTGGTCCACAGTGCTGGACTGCCCCTAGCTCCTCAGTGTCAGGTGCTAGCAAGTGAGGCAGGAAGCCCAGGACCTCTCCCTGGGTCTGTTGGTGCAGGATGGGAACCATTCCCCTGGCACAGCTGCAGAAACAAGCAAGAAATAGTTGCCCTCAAGCTGCAGTCCAAATAAGCAGAGACATTTGGATAATCATTCATTTCATTGACGTTCATAGCTAAATATAAAGACATATTTTTTTATGAGAAAATTGCTCCTATTTTTTTTTTCTCAGAAGAAAAATAAAACAGAAGTAGTCCCAAGTTTTTCAGCTGCAGAGATATAATTATGCCACTTAAATTCTCTGATGCAGGGGTGCAGAGAAAGTATGATTGCAGAGATTTAAAGGGTGCTGTTGCTATGGCACTTTCTGAACTGGGATGTTTCTTGGCTACAGAAATGTTAAACACTTTAAAAAGCAGCTTATCAGCTCAAGGTTTCTTAAAGGCCTACGATAGCCTTCTGCATTAAACCCTAAATCTAGCTGGAAAGAGCTGTTCATTTCAGCAAGGGTAATCTGGGAGGAATACAGAGACACTGCAGAAGCATCCAAGGATGAAGTTAGGAAAGCTAAAGCCTAGATGTAACTGAAGCAGGCCAGAGATGTCAAGGACAATGAGAAGAGGTTCTTTAAGTTATTAGGTAACAAAAAAAGACCAGGATAATGTGGGCCCATTCTTTAAGGAGGCAGGGACCAAATTATTCAGGACATGAAAAGATTTGATGTACTGGATGCCTTTTTTGCTCCAGTCTTTACTAGCAAGAAAAAGGGAAAACTGAGGCTGTATTCTTGGTGGAAGACAATCAGATCAGGGAGTACTACAGTGAACTGGATCCATGGATCTCAATGGGATGAACCCTCAAGATGGCAGATGTTATTGTGAGTGTACTTTTGGTAATTCTTGATCATGGAGACTGGAGAAGTGCCCAAAGACTAGAGGAAAAGCAAACGACCCTGCCAATCTCAGGAACAGTGCGAGCCTTGGGAAACAGAGGCTAGGCAGGCTCAAATAGGTCCCTGGGAAAGTGCTGGAGCTGCAATAATGAAAACCATTTCCAGACAAGTGAACAACCAGAAAATCATCAAGAGCCATGCTAGATCAACAAGATAAGGTTCTATAATAAATATGAAATAATATGAAATAACTGCCCTGGTAGGTGAGAGGAGAATGGTGGATATTGTCTACCTGGGTTTCAGTTAGGCTTTTGAGGCTGTCCCATATAAGATCCTCAAATAATTCTAGAGAATTATTTGATGTGTGGACTGAATTGACAGACAGTGTAGTGGGTTGAAAACTGACTGACTGGCTGAGTCCAGAGGGCAGTCATTGGCAGTGAAAAGCCTAGTGGGAGGCCAGTAACTAGGGGTGTACTACAGAGGTCAATATTTCATCCGGTCCTATTCAACACCTTCATTAATGTTCTAAATGACAGTTTATGGAGTCCAACAATGGGCCATAAAGATGATTAAGAGACTGGAGTGCTTCTCTTACTAGGAAAGGTTGAGAGAACTGAGACTGTTCTGCCTGGAGAAGAGAAAGCATAGGTGGATCTCATTAGTGTCTATAAATACCTAATGGGAGGGTGCAGAGGACAGAGCCACGCTCTTTTCATTGGTGCCCAGTGCCAGGACGAGAGACAATGGGCACATTCTGGAGCACAGGAGTTCCAGCAGGCAGCCCTTCTTTACTGTGGTTGGCAGAGCAGATCTTTCAGATATTCAGAAGCTGCCTGAGTATGGTCCTGGGCACCCTTGCTGTGAGTATCCCTGCTAGAAGAGGGGTTGGACCACGTGAACCCAGAGGACTCTGCCATCTCAACCTTTCTGCGATTCTGTGAAGAGGAGAGGTGATATAATAGCAGCCCACAGTGACTTGGAGGAGAGCTAAAGAACAGGAGAGAAAACCTCTTCTTGGTGGTGCCAAATGAAATAAAAAAGAAAAATCTGGAAATTCCTTCCTGAGAGGTTCACATTGGCCACTTTTTTTGCAAGGAAATTGGCGCAGCACTTGAAGCTCCCAGACAGGCAATCAGAACAACTTTGGAGGCTTCTGTAACTTGTCTGCCCAAAGCCAGGGTGATCTAATGCTGAAATTGTATTGATCTGAGTCTGACTTTGGACTACAGACCCCAGAAGGGCCCATCCCATCACCATTCCCACTGTCTGTAGGCATTTTGACAGCTACTGCTTCTGGAGGTGAGGTGATCCCAGCAGCACCCTGAGGTATTCACAGTGTCCTACCGTCAGGGACATGGCCATGGTTCTCCTGCTCATCCAGCCGCAGGACTGCAGGGCTGAGGCAGCCAAAGGTCTGACGTAGGTGGCAGGATGCATGGGCCTTCCAGATTGGCCACAGGCTGGAGAAGAAGAGCTGGTACTCGTCATTGGACAGGGGGCTGCCCACGGGAGGCACTGGTGGCGCAGCAGAGGATGCCAGCAACATCAGCAGTCCTGGGGAGACAGCAGAATATACTTCCTCTCTTTTGCCTTTGGCTGGGGTCCCCCTTCTCTCCTTCATCCCCTGTGCCACTTTCCACTCTACATCGTTTCTTAGAACCTCCAGATCCCCCCCTGGTTGAGCATGATTGAGGGCTGGAACAGAGAGCAGGCCCGACATGATGGTCCTGTGAGAGGCACGGGGCTGGAGGAGATGTGGGGTGAGGGCACAGTAGCAGGGAATTCTAACACCCACCCCCTAGCCTAAGCACAGTGCCCCAAGGCCCTGCTGTGGCCCCTGGGAGGATGGGCAGCAGCCTCGTTAGTCACTCACTCAAAAGGGAGGGCAACCTCAACATTTCTACCCCTTGTCCCAGCACTCCCGTCCTGCTGGGCCTTCTGCTTGGTGGCCATGGCAGCAGCGGAATGAGAAGGGGATGGCATCACAGCTGGAGCCTGGAGCCCTGCTGGTACCAGTAAGGTGGGAAAGGCTGGTGGGAGCTCACAGGGACATGAGGTGCGAAGGGCTGATGAGGGGACATGTGGACACAAGTCCCACTGGTATTAGTGAAGTGGGAAGGGCTGGTGGGCACTAGAGTGACCAGTGTAGGAGACCCGAGGCGCAAGCTCATGATGTGAAAGAGCTCTAGCATGACCATACTACAAGGGATGAAGGAGCTGATGCAGAGAGCAGATAGATGGGGACTAGGGGACAAGGCAATACCAAGGAGCAGGAGTTATGTGTGTCCCTTAAAACTTTAAAGTATTTTGTGCTCTTCTGCAGAAGAAAGGATATAAAACTGATTCCTCTTCTACCTGCAGAGACTGAAGCCCACCTCATGCCTCCACAGAGTGTCCAACCAGCAACTTGCTTCAAGAATCACTAGGAAATCGGTGTCAGCTCTCTTGGACAGCTGTGCCACTTTCTGGTTGATTGGAGTCAGTGGAGCATCTTCCAGAGGGAGTGTCCCAGGCAGTAGGGAACAGAGCTGTGCTCTGGACATGAACACCTCCATGGAAAAAGGAGGGATTTTGACTGTGGAGTTGGCAGAGCAGTGCTGGTACAGCCTGTGAGCATGGAGCAGCCCAGGGGCACTCAGCTACCAAGGCTGAAGCCCAGTGAGCAAACACAGTGACCCAATAGCACACTGCATGGTTGATGGCCAGCAGTGCTTGGGAGAGCCTCCTCTGGCTGGGTGCCTTCTGATGTGACAGAGAATGACCACAATCATCATGGGCAAGGAGCTGTCAGTGTGGCTGTGGCTGCAAAGCAGCGTCTGGCACAGCTGCACCAGAAACTGCATCCATAAGCAAAAACCAGGGCAGCACAGCAGCTTTCAGTACCCACTGCCGCATCACACAGCCTAATCTGATCTGAGATCTGCAGGCAAAACAGAGTGTTGGACAGCCCAAACAGCAGGAAGCCCCCAAAAAAGTGGTTTCCAATGCAGATCGCAGGAGATGCAAGCAGCTCTGCTTTGTGCAGCAGCTGCAGAGAGAATGCAGATATGCTGGCTGCCCTTGCAGAGCACCAGCTGCCAGTGAACAAAGTGGCCACACAAGCTGCCAGGAAAGATCAAACCACTACAGCCAGGCACTACAAAGGCATCTGGCAGCAGCACAGAGCTTTGTGTCTCCCTGCAGGAGACAAGCTACTGTTTGCTCCAAGAGGTCCTGTTGACAGGCAACACTTTCTCGAGGCTTGAAGGTCAACCTTTTAACAACAGCACTGAGTTTTAGGATGCTTTTATGGCATCTTTCAAACACAGTGAGCAGGAGACATTTTCTAGCTGTTTCTTGCCACTCCCATTAAAACAGACAACAAAACTCAAGCTTTTTCCATTTCTTCTTTTTTCCATTGCAGAGTTTGAGATGCATTTTAGACATCTCTAGAGCCTTCAGCTCCCCAGACTCATGAATCACCTCTGCTCTGCAGTGACAGCAGAGTCCAGGCTGTGTTCTGCCATCACTGGGCATCTCCCTGGGGGAACATAATGCTCACCTCGGTGGCTGATGGAAATTCATGACTGAGGAAAGCACCAACCTGGCACATCACACAGGGTTATCACAAGAGCTCCTGTTTGGACCTGCTGTTTATGGCATATAGATGAAGGAAACAAGAATGAGCATGCCAGAAAACAGTGCCCCCTCCTTGATCAGGCTGATGGAAAACATCACAGGATGGATGTAAGCACACAGAAACGTGCTGGGTGTGATGTGCTGATGAAGCCTGACCAACTTCTGCCTTGCTGTGGTGGCCCTGTGAGGTGCTGACGGCCTGGCACCAAGCTTGGCCCTGGCTCTGCTGGGCAAAGGACCCACGGGGCCAAGGGGAGTGCGGAGCCTGGTCGGAAGTGGGGATAGGGAGTGAGCACCAGCCTACTGTGAGCAGGGCTGGCATCTCCACAGGCAAAAGCATGAGACAGTGTGGTGAACTAAACCAAAGTGGTACAAACTGATGAGTTTAATAACAAGTTACCTGATCTTCGCTCTGAGTTGCACTTTATTTTTGTGGGTTTACTGTCACTGACCGAGAGCTATTTGAATGTGCTGGTAAATATAGCCTTGCTTTAACTCAGTGGGTGCATTAATCTCTTCACACTTATACAAGCACTCTACGTAATAATGTGCATTAATTCAGATGGCCTAATTTTATTTTGTTAGGAAGTAATGAAGTATTTTTTTACTCCCCATTTAGAAAGTGGAATATTTAATTGATTGCAAAAACATCATTTTAAAATGGTTTCTTGAACTAATAACTACAATGAGGCAGATTCTTAAAAGCATGCTTGAATGAACTGCTCTGGCCTTTCAGGCAGGCTGACTTGGGCAGAACAGCCTGAGCACACAGCCCGGTGCAAGCAGGGGGCTGGGCAACAGGGCTCCTGAGGTCCATCCCCACCTAAATCTTTCTGTGGCAACTGAATAGCATCATCCAGGCTTTCAGAACAAGGAAATCTCACGGTCTCACACTTTTTCTGAATGCTTGTCATCGATGTGTAAAAACTAATTCCAGCCTTTTCTCCTCCCAGCCTTGTTTCCTGCTTTGAACAGGTTATCCCCTCAATGGCAGTGACCCAATCCACTAAAATTAAATTGTACAGAAACTAAATCGTGCAGAAAGCAAATCTGCAAAAACAGACTGAAGTGGACAACTTTGAGAACATTTTCAAACCAGTAGGAGCTTAGTGCTCATCACAGGCTTGCCTGTCTTTAAGACACAGGCAAAAATGTCTTTTTTAAACTAACGTTTATTTTTTTTAATGCATTTGGAAGAATAAACATAAATTAGCATATATTAATCAAGACGCTTGACTATTTTTATAAACAGAATGCATTTTATTTGATAAGAACATGTATACATCTGATACTGCAACTACTAGGCAACAGAGTTGGAGTAGTATTTGGAAAGAAAGGCAGGACGCTGTTTTCTGTCTTGGTTTTGTTAGTCTTTAGCTCTATCAACACGTCACTCAAAAACGTTAAGCACTGCAGGTCAGTTTGAAGGAGGATATCACCTCCCCAATGGAAATCCACCACGAGAGAGATAAGAAGCTCAGATCAGCCAAAAGGAGTGTGTATGCTCACTGCTTATCCATGGACTTGGAAGTCAACCCTTGAGGTCCCTTCCAACCTGAAGCTCAGTCCTTCCTGTACATAGCAGGTCCATATGTAGCCACAGAACCACTTGGAAAATTGTCTTGTGGAGCTAACAGAGCCCTTTGATTTCTCAACAGTGGAAGCGATCTGGGAAACTTTGGGCCTGGACTTGTGGAGGAAGAATCCATGTTATTACCAGTGTTATTAACCTCAGAAACACAAGATCCAATTTCTGCTTGGGCATGAAAGTAAAACTCTTTGCACATATTTTATGCCAGCAAGGCCTTCTGCAAGATCTTTAGCCAGAAATCTGAACTATCACTGACAAGACTAAGGTCAGCTCTTCCTGGCTCACACAGCAGGGAGAAAAGTGCACTGTGGCCATTTATACAGGACAACTGCTCAGAGACTGCTGAACCAGCCAGGTCTGCTTAGTGCAGGGCCCTGGTTCCAAGTTCACTTGGAAGTTTGGATTATCAGACAAGCCACCAACATGCAGCTGGGACACGAGCAACGTGTCTTGCCCTGCTCCAGCAGAAACGAAACATCAATGATCCCACTGCCACTTTGCACGATGACTCACTGCAGCTGTGTTGCAGTGCTCAGTCACCTCAGCAGCCCGCATGCTTTTAGTGAAGCTTTACTGAGGTGAGAGCACAACGAGATACCCTTCATGTCCCCTTCTGGAACTTGGAGAAAGCATCACCCACTTCTCTGCAAATGCTGGAGGGGAGCAAACCCATTGTCATCTGCAACTACCACCTCCTGATAAAGTGCATCTGTAATGAGAAACATCCTGGGAGAAGCAAGCTATCTCTCAGGTAAATATATCTTTCTTCTCAGCTGTCAGCTTGAGATCTCCCGAGTGATTTGGTCAGCATTTGAATCAAGCCCTAAGCTCATCAGCAACATCACCTTTTTCTTGGAACCACACAGCAGCCACTTCCTATCTAGCTTGCCCTGCTGCAGCACTGTGCTATCCACACACCTCACTTGCCTGAGGACTGGCAGCAGCCTGACTTTGTAGGGGAAATGGAACCAGGTGACTTCCAGGAGTCCCTTCTAATCAGTGTTTCCAACTCTCAGATACATATATTTATACCTAGTCATTTTCTCATAAGAATTTATCCCCAATAATTTCAATGAACACCACCAAAGTCTGCGCTCGCTCTGCTGCCTGGGAATGATGCCCACTGGTAAGAAAATTGTGTAGTGAGAAGATAAACAGGTCGTTTGTGTGCATGGCCAAGTTTTATTAGTAGATGCGCTTACAGAAGTCAGCACAAGTCCTACTTCTTGTAGTGCTGCATTGCTCCAGCTACTGAATCTCAGATTTGACTTTAGCCATTAACTATGTCATTACCAATTGCTCCAAGAGGCAATTTCTCCAGCTCCATTTGAGAAGGTGGTTATGTTGTGCTCATTGCTATTGCAATGAATCTGTCAACCACCCAGCTCTATTTAAAGGAATTTGTGATGACTCTAACATAGTTTCTCCCTGTCTTAAGCACTATAATCAAACTTTTGGATGAAGTAGAATTTTTGGATACTTACCCATGTGATTATTCCCATGACAGGTAACTATTAAAAATGACCTTTCAAAAAAAAAAACCAAAACAATAATAATAAAAAAAAAATCACGTCAGGTCATTTTTGACAGATTTTCTTTTTGCTATTTCTGGTCAAAACATTTTTATTGACCTGGAATTCTCCTTTGTTTTAAAGAGAAGCAATTTGCTTATAAGTTCTGCCCTGTTTCAAACCTGGGTTGGTAACAGTCAGCTGACTTGTAGCAATCCTCTTGCCACCCCAGAAGTCCAGCACAGAGCTGATGCTTTTCCAATGTTTTAAACCTGTCGGATTTTGGAACCCAGGCACCTGGGGCAGCTTTTGCAGGGCTACAAATGCTATTTACTGAAGATTACCAATTCACATTGTTCTCCCCAATAGACGCCGTTTAAAATCCTCCTTACTGTTTGCCTGAGAACTGTATCATTCCAATATGACACCAGCACAAACTCATAATAAATATTTTCAGAACACTTCCACCTCCTCTCATTACAAACAATTCTGCTATCTGCAGTTGGTAATGGACATGTGCCATGTTCAGTTACACCAGAAACAAAAGACAATCTAAAAAAAGCTGCTTGTGTTTCCAGCCCTGTCACTTGCAAGCTTTGTTTCTAATGGCTTCAATTTTGTACTCGGTCATTTCTAGCTTCTATTGATTCTGTTATTTTCTCCCTTTGATTAAGTTTTGCACAGTTACTGCGTTCATTCCTTCTCTTTCAATGCTAGTTTTTAATGTCCTTTCATCTGTCATCGTAAGCTGTTTAAAAATTCTTGGTTTTCACACCTATTTGTCAAAATTCCCACTTTAAATACCCCTCTAGTAGACGTTTCCCAGAGAACTTCCAGCTAATGCTGGCCATCACAACCAGAGGCCTATCTCACCAAAAGCTATCGCATCCTTTGTCATTCTTGCACTTGGCCCAGATGCGCTTTTCAACTACAGACCATATCCTGCCTTTGCTCTGTTAGTTCAGCACTCATTTGGTCAGTGGACAATGGAAGAGCCACTGATGCCACCTATCAGAACTTTGGTGAGGCCTTTGACACAGTCCCCCATAACATCCTTCTCTTAAAATAGAAAAGTAATGGATTGATGGATGGGCTGTTCAATGGATGAGTGACTGGCTGCAAGATCATACCCAGTAGCAGTCAACAGCTTAATGTCCCCACGGAGATCAGTGACAAGCAGTACTCCTCAAGGGTCAGTGCTGGGAGCAATGCTCTTTAAATCTTCACCACAGACACAGACAGTGGGTTTGAGTGCACCCACTGCAAGTTTGTAGACAACACCAAATTGCATGGTACAGACAACACACCCAAAGGACAGGATGCCATTCACAGAGACCTAGACAGGCTCAACAAGTGGGCCCAGGTGAATATCACGACATTCAATAAACCCAAGTGTGGGGTTTTGCACCTGGGTTGTGGTGACTCTTGCTATCAAGACAAGCCGGAGGATGTAAGGATGGAGCACAGCCCTGTCAGAAAGAACTTGGGGTTACTGACAGATGGCAGCTGAACACAAGCCAGCCATGTGCCCTCACAGCCCAGAAAGCCAACTGTATCCTAGGCTGCATCAAAATTGTGGCCAGCAGGGCAAGGGAGGTGATCCTGCCCCTCTGCTCTGAGCTGGTGAGACCTCACCTGTAGTACTGCGTCCAGATGTGGAGTCCTCAGCACAGAAGAGACGTGGACCTGTTGGAACACAGCCAGAGGAGGGCCACAGAAGTGATCCAAGGGATGGAACACCTCCCCTACAAGGACAGGCTGAGAGAGCTGGGGCTGTTCAACCTGGAGAAGAGAACGTTCCAGGGAAAACTGACGGCAGCCTTTCAATATTTGAAGAGAGACTATAAGAAGGAAGGGACAGGCTCGTTAGCAAGGTCTGCTGTGAGAGGACAAGAAGTGGTTTCAAACTAAAAGAGAGGAGATTGGAAATAAGAAAAATTACGTGCAGTAAGGGTAGCAATAATGCACTGGAACAAGTTGCCCAGACAAGTGTTGGAAGATCTGTATTTGGAGACACCCAAGGTCAGGCTGGATCAGGCTTTGAGCAATCTCATCTAGCTGCAGATGTCCCTGTTAATTGCAGGAGAGTTGGACTAGATGACCTTTAATGATCCCTTCCAACTCAAAAGATTCTGATTTTAGGAACTGATTAAACTGATAAAGGCTATCTTCAGTAAGGAACATTTCCTCACCTGTCAACATTACAACACTACCTTATTAACAGCAGCTGGAGTTTCTGGCAACAAAGTGGTCCAGGGTGAAGGTGACTCACTGGGGAACAAGTTAACAGGATATCTAAAAAACTTGTCCACATTCTTGGATGCAAAAGCTTTGCCCTGATAACTTATTTTCTTAGCGTTCTGCCCAATAGCTATAGTGAGGGCTGGTCATCTATGTTCTTCCTCACTCATTTAACAGAGGACCACTGACAAAAAGAAAAGCCAACAAAAATGACAATAAGCATCTTTTCATTTGTGAGGAAATGACTAAAGAGGCAGATGTTCTTCACAGACATTAGAAAGCTTAGAAACTCTTTTGCAAGTGTATTAGTTGTATTTTAAAGGATGACCTTGGCAGAATGTTCAGGATTATTACATGAAAAAAGCTGTGCTGCATTTGTCAGTAGAAAAGCTGAGCTGAGAAAGAACCAAAAAAGAGACCAATTACTTACTTTGGAGGTAACAGCAAGACAAACCGAGCATTTGTTTGAACGAATTTTATTTAGTTCTATAGTATACAAGTGGGATTTGGATCCCTGAACTTTCCATCATCATCAACATAATGGAGAAGCTCCACTGTACTAAAGGGAGGGAGAATTCTGGTGCCAGAAGACAGGCTAGATCAAACTGTTTCTCACCACATGGCCAGAAATTCTTCTTCCTTCATACAATGTGCTTCCCAGGAGAGCAGGTTTACCCCAGGAGTAAGAGATAAAGCTAGCTCTAAACACTCCTTCCTCCTTGCCCCAACAAAAGAGGCTGCTCAATGCCAGACAAAGTAGTGGAATGATTAAAGATAGGGAGTACATTAAGTTTTCAGTCTCTCAACCAAGCTACTAGATTAAGCAGTGGCCTGGTTACTCCCTCTCTCCTGAAAAAGATCCAGGAAAATAGAAGACCTAAAATGCTGAAGACTTACCTCCTTTCCTTCCCCCATCTCATAGCCTTGTTCTCTCAGCAGAGAGTAGGCAATGAACTCTGAGGAGGCTGAAGGAAAGCCAAGGAAAATCAGGGGCTACCTGAATCCCTGGGAATCTGGTGGCTACCCTGGTGCCCTCATTCACTCCCTTTGAGGTTCAGAGACCTGTTTGGAATAGTACACAGAGAGGGCCTCCCTTAGGGATTCGGAAGCAGCCAGGGATACAGAACATACTGGAACTGCCGTGAGGGTACACACCATTCCAGGGATGGCCCAAACCACAAACAGGGCAAAGACTCCCCCTAGCCAAGGTCCCAAGGGCTGGGGGAGCTGGGACGAGGCCCTGGCAGGGGGAAGAGAGCTCCTGCAGCAGTATCCGAGGCTCATGGGATTTTACTTCTTCTTCCTCTCCTGGGAACAGCGAGGGCAGAACCTGGTAGAAAGGAAAGCAAAAAGCCAGCATTTATGATCTCATATGAACCCTGAGTTTACAGTTTCAAAGGATCTTTTCCAAGATACCAAAGCCTTAATTCAAGTTCTTTTGCTGAAAAAGTCTTACTCTCTTTAATTTTCTCTTATTTTCTCTTCTGTCATCCACAACCCTCCTCTTTTCAGAGACCAATGGGCCGTGCAGTATGTTTGTTTTAATCACTCACTCACCATTTTCCTCTTGGTTTTGTTGTCAGACCCACACAGGCAAAATGAAACCATTCGATGGAGCACTGTTGAGGTGGAGAGCATTCAGTTAAAAAGCTGTTCTCTTTTGAAATCCTTGTTTCTGGTCTGCTGAAACTTCCCAATGTTTAATCACAAATTCTGAAACCACTAGTAGCAATCCTAACAGGATCTGTCAGAAAACAGGAGTCTCATATCCAACCTATACATCGTTAGTAAGCAGAATTATCCCTTGCTGAGTATGGGGCCAAGAAAACATCCATTTATTAGGGAAAAGCCCCAAAAAAGCTGCACTAAACTGGCCAGTCCACTGCTCTTCCCAGCTGAGATGAGCCCTGCTACTATCACTGCTTCTACATCAGGCCCCACCCAAGCAGCACAAGACTTTCTGTAGGAGACTCTCCACTCCCTTCTCCCCCACTTCCATCAATACAGGCTCTTACATCTGGGTTGTCGCAGCCAATCATCTCCCCATAGGAGACCTGGTGGCAGAGGCAGTAAGTAGGCTCATTGGGGTCCACAGGCATATCCAATACATCTGAAGGATGCACATTTCCAAATGTGACTGAAGGCATTCCGTATTCTGTGCTACTGCAGGAAAGAGAAATAAATCAGGTTAGTAAATCAACTAGCACTGGTTCCCTTCATACCTCCCATTGCCCAGAGACAGCCACTCCTCTTTTTACAGCACATACATCCACATCCATTGAAGTGATCTGTCTTTCCCTTCACACCACACTCCCTTGAAAAAACTAAAAAGTCTCCTTCCTTTCTTTCCAAGGAGAAACACACAGGATCTGGTCGGGGTGGGGATCAAATTCTTCATAGGGAAGTCTGGCTAAGCCTCCCTTGGTCTGATTTGTAGTGCTGCTCCTCATTCCCCCAGGTGTCTTAAATGCTTACGTGCGGACAAGCTTTAATTTCTTTTGGGCAGTCTTTGGTGCCTCCTCATCAGAATTCTTCCCTTTAGAGCGTGCACGTGCAGCTTTCTTCTCCTTTTGGGCTCGGCCCTCTGGTAACAAGAGAAAAAGTTATTGCATATTCCATTCTGTTAAAACAGACACCTGACAGTAACAACCTCTTCAGCACCAAAATGCAATCCTACTTTGGAATGTACATTGGCTTTAGGCCACGCATCTCATCTTAATTTTTATCTAGTGGCCTTGAATATGCTCACACAAGAAGAGCCCAGGTCACCATCTTTTTACCTGTCCTTCAGATTCCAGCGTAACAGTCTGTACCACTTCAGTGCCTGCCTTCATCCCCACCACTTCCACAGTCACTTGGCTGCCTCCTGTATCAATCTGCAGCCCAGTGGTGGTACTCACTCTTCTTGCCCTTGCTGGAAGAACTGTCATAGTCACTCGATTCTATCTGCTTCTCCTTCAGGTCTGCTTCAAAGCGAGCAAGATCTGTGTCCAGCCGCCGGATGTGCTTATCGACCTGCAAAAAAGACAGTGACCAAGAGTTACCACAGAACAGAGCCCAAGACAGCAAAGAAGAGAGAGTACAGGGCTTGCACTAAGAGCAGAAAAGCAAGAGTGGGTGAGGCTCGAAAGAGAGAGAACGGGGTCTTCAGCACAGTCTTTCATAAAATAACCACCAGACACTTCCCTTCATACCATCTCATAGGTCTGCATAGCCAGCTGAACCTTGTCATCCCCAAATTCTTTGCATTTCCCGTAGGCCTCCTGGATTTGCTTGAGGAGCCCCAGTTTTTCCTCTGACGACAAAGTCCGTGCGTTGCTGATATACTCTGTGGCCAGCTTATCGATCTCCGACTTGAGGTCTGAAACAAGTTGACCATTCAACACGTAAATATGTGTACATACATACACAGGGTCCTCTTAAGAAAGCTGCAGGTTTCCTTCTCTTCCCCAAGGTCCCAGATGAAGGCAAAGGAAGAAAAGCCAGCCAGGCTGCACGATTCCTTTCTCATCACAGAAACCATCTCTAATCCTCACCTTCTGTTCTCTGATCCAGATCTCGCATGAGCTGGAAGTTTCTCTGCAGTTCAAAAGGCAGGTTCTCAATGCCTGCAGGGAAAGAAGAATACATAGAGAAGTCAAGTCCCTGTCCACGATGTCAAACCAAAGCTAAGTTCAACTAAGTACTGACTGCTCAGCTTAACTAACGCCACAGCAGTCCAGCGATTCCCAGAACTCTCTCCTAGTTCACACTGGCGTGCCTCTAGCTGCTGCCAACCATAAAGGAGAGACTATAAAAACTTGATGCGTTTAACCCAGGTGTTCAATTCTACAGCACCAGATCAGCTAACAGAAAACTGCCACGCAGAAAGGCATGAATTATAATAAGCAGAAAAGCAGAAAACTTTTTTTGTAATACAGTCAGTCATTCTGATGCAGCATTCTAACCCCATCCAAGAACTCACTTCACTAAGAAACAAAAAAAAACCCAAAAAACAGCACAACAGCTGGTAAATAACACCATTTAGTTACTTCTATGCAAAACTAAAGCTGATCAAATGCTAATTCACTGAAAAGTGAGTCAGGATTAATATTTATTTTAACAGACAGAGATAGAAGACTTCGCAGAACCAGTGAACAACTCTGAGGCAGTACAAAACAGTAAACAGCAGCCTTAACCCCCTGCTCCTGGTTCTGCCTTCTACACCACAAACGCAGTATGGCCTGCCCTGCACATGGAAGGATGCTAAACATTGTGAACAACAAAACATCTGTACAGGTCTGAACCAGCAACATGAAGCTGATAGCCAATTAATTTCCAACGCGCTGTGCTACTCAGCACCTAGTCATCACCACATGCTCAGCTGACAAGCCTGATAAAAACACTTCTTATTTTGCCATGCCTGTCTAATCACTGAGATCTACTGTCACCACATTGACCTGAAGTCCAAGCTTGATTGTTATCAACTTTACACCTAATAAACAGCTTAAAAAAACCAAAATCTTGCAAGTTGCTGCTGTTATTATTAAAAACAACAAAGGTGGGGAGGAGTATGGGGTTGTAGAAAAAAAGCTCTTCAGAAGCACAACAGGAGCATTTCTGCTTCCTGAACCCACCCTGCAACACACACTGTGTAAATGAAGGCATCCCTACCCTTACTCAAGGCTGTCTAACACATCAGCCCCAACAGCAGTCTCTATTTTTCACCACCACACATTTCTACAGCAGAGACATTTCTGTGAAAAGCAATCACCCAGCAGGGAAGGTCTGCACAAAAGGAATTCATTTATTTTGAAACAAGTGCCATACACATGCCACAAAATTAATTTCTACAAATGCAAGAACAACTGTGGGCCTCGCTGGGCTTAGAAGCTGTTTCTTTAACAAATAAAATAACAAGTAGGTTTCCACACAATCAGAACATAATTACTTGTAAGGATTTTGTACGTCACTTACTCAATATTGCTTCAATCAATTTTGGTTGCCATTTCTGTTTTAAATATCTAAGAAATGTGCAGATAGTAGGCCCTTACGTACACGGATATATGACCACTCAGCACGCAGGCACCACTGCCTTGCATTCAAGGTTAATACTGCGAGATCAAGTTCTCAAAAAATTAGGAAGCAGCAACATTAAGGTTGTTTGCCTATTCCTAAATGTTGTGCTTCCTTGTCCACAGGGCTCAAGCAGCCCACTACCAGATTACATCCCTACGGCTCAAAAAACAAACGCGCACCGACTCAGAACACACCGGGCACACAGAACTGAAAATCGTCATCGCTTACAAACAGAATTTGTGGCAGGGATGAAATTCAGCTTGAGAATCTTTATATCATCCCTTTTTCTTCTGTAATCCCCAGCCTCACTGACTGCAAACCTTTCAATTTGCACAGCAAATGGAACATGGTCATGCAGCAGCACGCTATTTTTCACTCTCTCCTCCAGGAGAGGGATCCTCTAGAGAAAACCAGCATTTGTTCTTGTATTGTGCATAGCATGTCAGATATGCACAAATCCCAGGCCATCCGAATTCTTGGTAGTTTTTAAAAAAAGATCGATGTAATTTCCTTTTTCTCCATCTAAAAAAGAGCTCATAAAAGCACACGTTCCATCACATACTGTTTTCCCCCAGCAAGGCTAGAAACTGTCAAGATACAGAGAATACCTCAGCTAGCTCAAAAACCAGTGGGATGCTATTCTCTGGACAGAACAACCCTAAATGAGGTTACGGCTAAGTTTCACACTCATGCTTAAGAGAAACTCAGACAGGACTTTGCTGCTGTTGGAGAACCTGAAAGGAATCATGCCCTGGTTTCTACAGGTATTGCAGCAAAAAGAAAAGCTGTCTCCAGCTGTCACACACACCAGTACACACCCCCACCTGGAAAAGCGTCCTTTCTCCTTTCACCTCTACAAGATAAAGCTGCAGCTAAACAAGTTTTAACTGAGCAATTTCTATGGCAGGCAGCTTACCTGTGTATGGGAAAGCTTTCTGCTCTCTGCTGCTTAACCCAAAAGAACTTATCTATTCTAACAAACAAAAGTACTAATAAACAAACAAACACTCTTCATCACAGTATTTTCCAGTGGTCTGAAATTACTTGGCCAATGTTGTGACGGCTATCAGAAAACAACACTTCAGCAGTCCCATAAAAAACAGATGTCTTGGTGGCCTTTCACGATGGAGTTACAACATCAGTGGATAAAGAAAGAGCAACTGATGTCATCTACCTGGACTTGTACAAAGCATTTGACACTGTCCTGCATGACAAAATGGAATTGATGGATGGATCATCCACTGGAATAGGAATTGGCTGGATGGTCACACTCAGAGAGTTGCAGTCAATGGCTCAATGTCCAAGTGAGACCCGTGACGAGCGACGTCCCTCAGGGACCAGTGCTGGGTCTAATGCTATTTAATATCTTTGAAGGCAACGTGGACAGTGGGCAGTGTCACATGTGACAGTGGGCATGGACAGTGCATCCTCGTCAAGCCTACAGACAGCACCAAGCTGAGTAGCACAGCTGACACGCTAGAGGGAAGGGATGCCATTCACAGGGACCTGAACAGGCTTGAGTGGTAGGCCCACGCCAACCTCATGAAGTTCAACAAGGCCAAGTGCAAGGTCCTGCACCGGGGTAAGGGCAATCCCAAGCACAGATACAGGCTGGGTGGAGAATGGTTTGAGAGCAGCCCTGAGGAGAGGGATTTGGATGTGTCAGTTGATGAGAAGGCTAAAGATGAGCTAGAAATGTGTGCTTCCTATCCAGAAGGCCAATCACATCCTAGGTTGCATCAAGAGAAGTGTGGCCAGCAGGTCAAGAGAGGCAATTCTGTTCCTCTACTCTGCTCTTGTGAGACTGCGCCTGGAGTACAGTGTCCAGTTCTGGGGCCCCCAACACAAGAAGGACATTAAGCAGGTCCAGAGGAGGGCCACAAAGATTATCAGAAGGCTGGAGCACCTCCCCTACAGACTGAGAGTTGGGGCTTCAGCCTAGAGAAGAGAAGGCAGGGACCTTACATAGGCATTCCAGAACCTGAAGGGAGACTATAGAAAACCATGGACTCTCATTATTGCGACTTCACTCATTTGCACAGATCACAGAGAGCAATGCACAGCCCCCCATGTATCCTGCATTCCTGCCACAGCAAGATTACCCTATGCATCACTGCACGTCTCCAAGTTTCTGCCTCCCCTTCCTTTTCTTACCTTGTTTTCATTCTCTATTACAGGTTAAACTTTTTATTCCTTTCTGCTTCCCAGGTCCTTGTCCTTTCATCATCCCCATTCTTCTCTCATCCTTCATCCTTTTTCCTTGCCATTCCTTCCACCATTCCTGTTCTTCTCTCAACACATCTCTTTTCCCAAAAGAACCACGCAGACCCTTAACTTTCCAAAAATTAGAATCCAGCACCACCCTCCTTCCTTCAAATCAAAAACAAAACAGAAAACAAATCAATAAAAGTAATGGGTGAACAGCTTTCAGTGCAGGCAATCGACATTTAAACTTCAGCTGCTGAACTGAGATGTTAATTCACACCCACAACAAGCAAGCCCATGAGCCCATGGAATTGTACAATCTGGTAACTTTTGCTGTTCCTCATCCTCTCACTGTGCATGTTTCAGCAGTGCCAGACAATGGGTTTGTACTGCGAGTGTCCACATTTCCAAAGAGATCCATGGCACCAAAGTACTACACAAATACATGGTGCCTTTCCCAAGATATCCGCTCATCTACCATGTCCAGGTATGCTTACATTTATTAAAAAGTCAAAATGCATTTTAAAACACAATCACAATGCTTTATTAAACAGTACAGATTTCAACAACCAGCTTTAACGCTACACTGCTGACAGCAATTAAGACATCCTGCTTGCGACAGACTGGCAAAGAAACAGGATAAGTTCCTTGCCCTCTGGAATGAAAAACTGCTGAGCTCTCATGAGGGAAGAACACAGGACTTTTTGGTGCTGAGAGATTTCAGAATTTTGTAGCAAACACAAAAGAGTGTGTGCCCTTTCCTGAAGGGATGAAGGGTTCTTTCTGACTTTTCAATACTACAGTATCCACAACCAAGACAGCAGGCTGTACTGCTAGGAACTGTATCCCTGTGTTAAAGATCTATCACAGAATCACAGAATCACAGAATCACCCGGGTTGGAAGGGACCTCAAGGATCATGTAGTTCCAACCCCCCTGCCTAGCAGGGCCACCAAACACACACATTCAGATCAGGTTGCCCAGGACCCCGTCCAACCTGGCCTTAAACACATCCAAGGACGGGGCATCCACAACCTCCCTGGGCAGCCCGTTCCAGGGCCTAACCACTCTCCTTGTATAGAACTTCCCCCTAACATCCAACCTAAATCTTCCCTCCTTCAACTTGGATCCATTTCCCCTAGTCCTGCTGTTGTCAGCCCTTTTGAAGAGTTTACTCCCCTCGTGGGTGTAGGTTCCCTTCAGGTATTGATAGGCTGCAATGAGGTCACCACGCAGCCTTCTCTTCTCCAGGCTGAACAAGCCCATCTACCTCGATTTCAGAAGTTTGCAGGATACGGAAGACTGGCAAGTCAAATTAGAAACACTCCAGGCATTCCCAGCCCACTGCAGATCTCCAAGGGCACCACCAAAGAGAGAACAGGAATGTCTGACAAAATGGTTGCACCAGATTCGGTTTTGGTCAAGCGAAGAAACATGGAGAAAATGCAGAATGTTTTGTCTTATAAAACCATTTGGCGGAAGCTCTGAAAAAATTACCAGTCAACAACAAAATCAATTTTAAACGAACTGGCCATTAGCAGTAATAAAAGCATTAGCTGAGTGTGGGTTGTGCCTGTAGCTTTCACACAGAAACAAGCGATGCCTATGAATCACCAAATCCTCTCCCTTTCACGAGATCTTTTGTAATTTTCCATAGACCATATGTGCTGCGTCACAGATGCAACTAATCCGAAGTCTCATAAAGGTGAAAGGCATCTTTCAGTACGCTACACTAAAACAATTTAAGAGATGTGTGCATCTGAAGTGTAACGTGAAACGATTTATAAGCAGGAACTGAAGGCTATGGCCACATACTGCATTGGTAAGAGACATTCCCGTGGCAGCTGCAGGGGAAGAAAGATGACTTTCAAGAAGGTGGATGCTGCTACTGTTGCTCTGTGCTTATTCAGGAATAAGCTTTCTAATACTGACAAGCCTTGAACCAGTACATGCCCACGTGCCAGTAGAATAAAAGGAGCAAAGGAAACTTGATGTCTCCCTCATAAGGATAAATAATAATAAATAAATGAAAATCAAAAGGGAACATTCCCCAGAAGTGACTACACAGTACCGTGCTAACTTACCAGCTGAGGACTCCATCGTGTCCCAGTGTCTACTCCTGGAATAGGTCCTGACTGGCAGCCTCCAAGACAACGGGAGGAACGCCAAGCAGCTATCAGAGCAGACAGACCAGTGACATTCTTTTGCTTCTTGAGCTCACTGAGGCTACTAGCTCTCATCTGATGACTCTTCCAAGTATTTAGATCTAATTTAGACCAAATGTTGGCAGAATCTAGATAGTCAGAAGTTTGGGGTGGGAGAAGCTGGAAACTACTTTTTTTTTAAAAAAATTGTCCCTTATCATCATTTTCCAATGACATTTATTCACTAACTCAACTTTAATGAAAATCTGAATTTCCTTCCATTCTGATGCACACTTTCCAAATGGAATTATAAAAGTTTACGTTCAGCAAGGCAAATAAAGCCAGAGCCTCATCTGTCCAGACTGAAAAATATGCGGTGGGCAACAATGGCTGGAACCAGCAGAGAAGGCACCACTTGATTTCCTAAGGGTTACAGACCCTTGCAAAGTAGGCAGATGTATCCTTATCATAAGGAAGCAAGCAGAGTGCAGTTCATGGTAAATTCAGGCACTAGACAGTTGGAGAGTGGTACATTCCTCGGTTCTGCTGCCATAAAGGATTTTTGTGATACCACTACCTGTAACTTACTTTATTCTGACGTCCTCTAAGTAAATAAAGAGATGCATTGACTTTACTACAAAGACAATACCTACAATCATGACACTTTCACAGAGACTCACAAAAAACTCACAGAAAACTGTAATTTCCCTCTATCCATGCATTTCATTGATGCCTACTCACAGCTCTACAGTCCTCTTGAAACATCTAAACACAAAGAAAACTCTGGTGTTTGCATCTTGTCTTCTAGAAGATCTGTATTAGTCACCCTTCCTTTCTCTCCCTTAAAGCTTGCATTAAGTATTTCTAGCTCTGTAAGAGAGCAAACACTGAGCCAAACACAGTAACTAGAGTCTGACCAAGCACAAATTCATTAGAAGAGCTTTCACATACATGCAATCACAAAATACCACGGTTTTCTTCCCTCTTATTCCTCCTCCATCCCTTTCCACATTTCTAATTCCTTTGCATCCATAGCTTCCCCCAAACTAAAGTTGTGTTCCTTTCTTGGCATGGAGGAAAACACTTCAGCATCTGGCTTTCTCTCCTCAGAAGCAGACATTAATTACTTTATAGACCATTAAATGCTTTAGAGAAGGAGAACAATATTTGAAGAGATGGAAAACTTTTCATGCTTAACTTCAGTCACTAAAGGAAGGTGAAGAAAGAGCCACACAAATAATCGAAGAGAACAGAACTGGAGCAAGAAACATTCCTCCTCTCTCTTTAATCCTTTGGCTCAGTATTGTCATCAAAGGGACAGCTTCAGTTTGGTGGAGGAAGGAAGGAGGGAAATCAGAGAAGACCCAATATGGAGCTCCTCTGTGAGGCAGCTCAGCACAGAAGTAACACGGACATTTTTTCTGCTGCAGGAGCACCTGCTGGGAGCATAACATAGTTCAGACAATTGAGCTTTAAAATTAGCACCTTACAGCAGGGGCACGGAAGGGTGTGTCTAATCCTAAACCTAAAACCAGTTTTAAATTACAACAACCACTTGAAAGCCAGTAAAATAGCAGGGCTAGGAAGCTGACAGACAATTCTACCAAGAACTCTGTTGATAACCTGGCTAGCACAAAAATCTCCTGGAAAAAAAATCTTGAGAGGTCCAAAATAGAGAACTCAAAAAGTCACAAGTTGAAATAACTAAGCCTGTATGTACAGCTTTGTCAGATCTTCTGTGTATTTTAACATTCAGGCTTCAGTTGCCACATGGAATGGTCATACCAGCTGTTTCTCATACCAAACTACTGACTAGTGACTGAAAATTTATTTTGTCCTTTTTGCTTAATAAGAGTCATCACATACACTATCCAAAACGCAATCTGAAACCCAACCAGGCAATCAGCTTTTCAAGGTGCTCATTAATATGACACGAGAATGCTTTCTCATGACACTGCTATGGAATAGCCTGCTTCCCTCACCAAAGGAATGAAAAAATAAGATGAAGAGTTAAGGCCATGTAATTGCAAACGCGCTTCTTTAGATGTCTAAAAATGCTACAGTTTCTCACAAGTTGGAACTATCTGCTCAAAGCACATTTCAGTTGCATTCATCATGTGCATTCTGCAAGTCTATTTCTCTAACTACAAATGTTCACCCAATTTAAGGGCAGAATGATCTGTTTGAGAAGAACTTGTAAAAAGCACGTCCTAAAAACAAACACAGACATCAAACTCACTTCATCAGGGTGGTATCCAACTGCCTCAAACACGAGACCACCTTTTTAATTCCTACCATCTGCACTAAATTCATCATACACCTTCCTTTCTTCAAGGATTTGAAGAGGTCCTACAAACAGCTGCCCTCTTTCATCACATCCTCCTCACACATTCCCTGAGCAGATCCAGCCAGTGAACGACATGGAGGAGAAATGCTGTGGGAGGAAAAAAAAAAAGTCAATGGAAAACTATATCTAAACTAGGTGCTAAAAGAACACTCTTTTTTTTAGTGATTAAGCTACAGTTTGCATCAAATACTTCTGGTACCAGAAAACATCTTGCATCTATAATAACAACAAAAAGCATAAGATACATTAAAATGAGTTTAAAAGGCTACATAGGGCTTCTGAACTCATTACAGACAATTACAAGCACCACTCATGCAAATCACACGTGAAGTAGGTCTTGATGCATTAAAGAAGTGTATCTTGCCTGTAAGTGAGATAGACTGGAAGAACAAAAACAAAAGGAACAGACCACCAGGGCAGTAAGACAACAGCCTAACTCCTGATACATTTTATCTCATGTACATTTAAGTCTTGTGTAAAGTAATACACTTAGGGAAAGTAAGGGATAAAGGATGCCAGACCGTATTTCCAAGAAACAGAAAGGCTTGATTACTATGGCAGATAACTGCCAAATAAGAACTTCCAGCTGAAACACAACGGCCAACAGGGATAAGGGCATGCTCAACAGAGGAGCAATAACCTGACTTCTTTAGTTAGCACCATAAAGAAGACTGGTACTAAAGGACTGCATTTTCAGAAAGTCAGAAATTCAAAGCTGTTGACAGAAGATTAGAGTAGGTTTTGTTTGTTTGTTTGTTTGTTTTGGTTAATTTACCAGAAAGAAGATCATTTATTTAATTTGAATCTACACAAGCAATAAACATTTAGTAACAGGACACTTCAATGTGGCAGGCAGAAGGTGTTACAGGTGCAAGAAAATATTGAAACTGTGAAAATGAACTTCTACAAAACAGTGACAGGAAAACCAATCAGTAAACTAACTCATTGAAGGATGATATGATATATTCTCTTCCATAAGTATTAAAAATTACATACTCCGCTTTTCTAAAGGAAACTCCTAGACTGAGCACAGCAGCTCTCTTACAGTTAGCTAATAACAGGATGTTGCATGTGATACAGAATCACAGAATTGTAGGGGTTGGAAGGGACCTCCAGAGATCATCGAGTCCAACCCCCCTGCCAAAGCAGGTTCCCTACAGTAGGTCGCACAGGTAGGCATCCAGGCAGGTCTTGAACATCTCCAGAGAAGGAGACTCCACCACCTCCCTGGGCAGCCTGTTCCAGTGCTCCGTCACCTCACTGTAAAGAAGTTCTTGCGCACATTTGTGCAGAACTTCCTATGCTGCAGTTTCCAGCCGTTTCCCCTTGTCCTGTCTCCACTCACCACTGAAAACAGTCTGTCCTCACCATTCTGCCCCCCACACCTTAGATATTTATAGACCTGGATCAGGTCCCCTCTCAGTCTTCTTTTCTCAAGGCTGAACAGACCCAGTTCACTCAGCCTTTCCTCATAGGAGAGATGCTCCAGGCCCTTCACCATCTTTGTGGCCCTCCGCTGGACTCTTTCCAAGAGATCCCTGTCTTTTTTGTACTGGGGAGCCCAGAATTGGACACAGTACTCCAGATGAGGCCTTACCAGGGCAGAGTAGAGGGGGAGGATCACCTCCCTCGACCTGCTGGACACGCTCTTTTTAATGCAGCCCAGTAAGCCATTGGCCCTCTTGGCCACAAGGGCACACTGCTGGCTCATGGCCAACCTGTCATCCACCAGGACACCCAGGTCCCTCTCCGCAGAGCTCCCCTCCAGCAGCTCATCCCCCAACCTGTACTGGTGCATGGAATTATTCCTCCCCAGATGCAAGACACTACATTTGCTTTTGTTAAACCTCATTTGGTTTCTTACTGCCCAGCTCTCCAGCCTGTCCAGGTCTCGCTGAATGGCAGCACGGCCTTCAGGCGTGTCAGCCAATCCTCCCAACTTCGTATCATCAGCAAACTTGCTGAGGGTGGCCATTATCCCCTCATCAAGGTCATTGATGAAGATGTTGAACAGGACCGGACCCAGCACCGACCCCTGAGGAACACCGCTGGTTACAGGCCTCCAACCGGACTCTGCACCACCAACAACGACCCTCTGTGCTCTGCCAGTCAGCCAGTTCTCAACCCACCTCACTGTCCACTCATCTATCCCACACTCCCTCAGCTTTGTTATAAGGATGTTGTGGGGGACAGTATCAAATGCCTTGCTGAAATCGAGGTAGACTACATCCACTGCTCTCCCCCCATCCACCCAGCCAGAGACAACATCATAGAAGGCTACCAGGTTGGTCAAGCACGACCTCCCCCTGGTGAACCCGTGCTGACTACTCCTGATAACCTCCTTTTCTTCCAGTTGTCTGGAGATGACATCCAGCATAAGCTGTTCCATCACCTTTCCAGGGACAGAGGTGAGGCTGACTGGCCTATAATTGCCTGGGTCTTCCTTCTTGCCTTTTTTGAAGACCGGGGTGACGTTGGCTATCTTCCAGTCTTCAGGCACCTCCCCCATCCTCCAAGACCTCTCAAAGATGACAGAAAGCGGTTCAGCAATCACCTCTGCCAGCTCCCTCAGCACCCGTGGATGAATCCCATAGGGTCCCATGGATTTGTGAACACAGGATACCAGGATACCAAACAAAAATCAAAGAACACAAAGCCACTGTAACAAACACTTTGCTCCTCCTAACATCTGTTTAGCCAGAAGACACATTAAAAAAAAAAAAAACAACAAAACAGCACCACTCTATTAACATCTACCTGCAGGACCACACATCCTGGCTGAGACATAAAATAGAAGCTTGTAATTTTTGCTGCATGTTTGTATTAGAGGAGGATGAAAGAGTTTCCACAGAGTTCACAGACTTTAGCTGACAGTGACAAAAATCCTGAGGCACTTGGCATTGATGGGAGTACTCTAGCTACCAAGCTCATCTAAAGCTTTTCTCATCTTCAACTTCATGCCTGCCATACATCACTACACTCAGCAGCAAATCTTTCTCATTCCTGTCTACTGGCTGTAAAACTCAATCTTTCATTACTTCGTCTTCGCAGCTCTTAATATACACTTGTGCTCCCTGCAGTAAAGAAACACTGCATCCCCCACACGCTTACTCTTCGTTTGTCTCCTTTGCTCCACTCTTGCCCAGCCCCCATCCTCCCATCTACCAGCTATCTTTGTCTCCTTGTCCAACTTTTCTTCCTGCTTTTTGCATTCTCCTTCTTCAAAGCTCCTAGATCAATATTCTTGCCTGTCCACTACCAGTGTCTCTTCAGCTTTTTTGGCAAAACATTGCGTATTGTGGTTCTTGACCTTCCTCAATTCACTATATGCTCCCGTAGATCGTAACGCAGGGAATGCTTCAGCTCTGTTCCCACACAGCAGCTCTGTGCTGGAGGAGATCTAGATCAGCACAATTCCTGAAGAACCATGCTCCAGTGCTACCTAGCATATGCCAACAGATGTAACTTGGCCAAGTAGACTGAAATAAAAGATACATACCACTAACATCATGCTCTAACACACCAAACTTTTTCATCTCCAGTGCTGACATCCAATCAGAAAATGTGAAAACTGCATTCATCAAAGAGGTGACCCAATCTTAACCCATGAGTATATTTCTTGAAGAACAACTCCTCCAATCACTTTACTGGTCTATTTTAAGAAGACCGGAGGGGAGAAGGAATATATTTATATTCTAAGTCTCACCGTGCGGAGAACATAATTTGATACAGTTATATGCAACTTAAAGGAGTACCATCAGTATTCATAGCCGAAATAAGGCTGCATTTTTAAAATGTCAGCGAAAGCAGCTGCAGCAACAATCCCCCAGCAGACACAGAAGTTGCCCTCAGCTTCATTCCACCAACGCTGCACCACCAGCGAACCCAGAAAGGCTCCCGAAGCCGCGCTGCCGAGGAGCAGCAGCAGCAGGCAGCTCCCCTGGGGGCAGGCAGATAGCGCGGCGCAGCGTCCCCACGGCCGGAGGCAGGGCCGGGCTGCCGAGGCAGCTCCTCTGAGCCCTGCCCGGCAGCAAGCTACGAGCGAGCAGCCGGAGCCCCAGCCGCTACGAGCGAGCAGCCGGAGCCCCTGCCGCCGCCTCTAAGCAGCCGCCTCTGCGCGGCGACGAGGGAAGGAAGGAAGGAGGAAGGGAGCGCGGTCGGGAGCCCTCACAGCTCCGGGAAGCCTCACAGCCAGGGCAACGCTGCCGTCCGCGGGGCTCGGGGCAGCCGCGGTTCGGCCAGCGCCCAGGCAGGGCTCAGTCCCCGCCCCGAGGCACAGTCTGCCCGTCCATCCTCAGCCGCGGCCCTCGGCCCCGCCCCGGCAGCTCTTACTGTCCAGGTAGTGCTCCAGGTACATCCCCGCCGCCATCTTGGGACCGGACACACTGGCGCTTCCGGCAGGAGCCGGACACCGGCGCGCCCTCCCCTCCGGAAATAGCTCGTGCCCTGCCGCCGAAGCCACTTCCGCCCTTCTTCCCAGTCGTTTCCGCTTCGTTGCTGTGGACGTTTGGGGCTGCGGTTGGGGGGGGGGCTGCCTCTTCGCCCGCTCTTGGCGGAGCGCTGGCCTGAGGGCTGTCGCACGGGGCTGCGGAGAAGGGAATTGCCCTGCGCGACCTTTCGCCGCGAGAGGTAAACGCCTGCATCCTTCTTCTCCGTGCTGGAAGAATCAACCCTCGTCGTTTGGAGGCTTACCAGAGGTCGCTCCTGGCTGCGCCTAACTTCCGACAACCCGTCTAGGCGCTCCCGGGGGATCGGCTGGGTGAGGAAGTGCTGCTGGTTTGTAGTAGTTAGCGGTTTTGCCATCCACCATGCTACTTGCCAGCCACGAGTAACTGCTGCGCTGTAACAGTTGGACTTTGCTGTACAGTGACAGCAGTACAGACTTTAGGTACGTACCGCACCGCTAGAACAGTTACACCAAGTTAAACACGTGAGCGTGCTCTTTTTTTCTCCACCTCGACAAAACCGCTTTTCTGACTGTGCACTGCCACGTATTACTTCCAGGTTACAGGCCCTTCTGCTACAGACTTCAGGACTCCTTCCCCTAAGAGCCCTTTGCCAGTGGCTGCACATGCAGCGTGCAAGGGTGAGAAGGTGAGGACACAAGTCTGATTATGAAGGAACTGAGACAAAATTATCTTGTTTCTTTTGGTCTTTAGACCAAAACATAACATCCAGGATTGCTGTATCAGGAGACTGAGTTAATTTTCTACGATGCAGTGTTGAAGAGACAATGAATTTCTTTGGTAATGTTAAATTTCATTTGCATTTTTGCTGCCTGCTTTTTTGTTTGTTTGTTTGTTTTGGTTTTTTTCCCTCTCCTTTTTCTCCTGATTGACTATACAGCCATTGTTCAGGGTACCTTGTTACTAGATACCATCCACGAGGAAAATTGATCAGACTTGGTTGTTCTTGTTCCTCCTAAAAATCTTCCAAGGCACCAGATCTTTATTTATATGGACCTGCAGGGATTAAGCGTTCTAGCAGTCTGCAATACAAATCTGAGAGGCTGCGACAAGAATGAATCGCAGCTGTTCAAATTATTGACCGCTTTGCTGACAGACTGTTTGGTTAATACAGAGATCCACAATGTTCTGGAGATACAAATAGTCCTGTTCCTGTAGTCATTAAAGTTACTCAATATTTTTAATCAAAACCTTTTCTTACTCTTTTTGGTTCTTTCATGAAGCAACTGGTTTCACTTAAGCTGAGCATTATTAAGCCTCACTTTCTTGTAAAGTACTTCAAAATTGTTATATAAATTGCCTTACACTCTTTAATTAAAGAGAAGGATATGGCTGTTATATAAAAATCTTATCTCCTATATCCTGTCACAAGACTAAACCAGAAGCCCCTAAAAGCATTTTGTTTGCAGTTACCATGGTGGATGGAGCTGATTTTAAGGAAGAGGTGTTCTTCAATATTACCAGTTTGGTCAAGAGACTACTCGGGAATCTCAGCTTACCCTCCAAGCCAAGGCTGTGTATGTGTCAAAACACTATTCCACTGAGGTAGAAAGAAAAACACCGTCTGGCTTTGCTGTCACTGCTGATATGAAAGACAGAACACTATACCTTTTCCAAAAATATACATGATAAACCTTAGCAAAGTGCACAAATGAATCTTTAACCTCATTAACTACTGCTGTAAAATTGAAAAACAAAAAGGAGAGGGAATTTTGTATACTCATGTGGCATCATGAGCAGTAGAAGTAAAAACTCTTCCAACAAAAAACTAGTTCCTGAATTGAGAAGTTTGCTTTCTTCCTGTTTATGCTTTCTTTAAAAACTCAAGGTTAATGGAGAAGTACATCTCTCAGGTTTCTAGAAGAATCCTGATCTGCAGTGAGGTTACTACTGTTGTTACTGCTGAGGTGTGACATGTTTTAGCATAAACACTTCTATGAGTTAAAGTACCAGTGTAGCAGTGTTGGATGAGGTATGAGCTAATAAACCTCACAGTAAGGCTTCCTCAAGGTTCTGACATCCTGAGATGTGCCAGGACAGGTGTCCAGTGCCGCACTGGAACTGGTTCTCTGGCCAGGAACAGAGGCAGAGAATTATCTTGAATCTCTTTCTGCTTTTCTGTTACATTTTTCAAGCATCCATCACATACTGTGATGGCTGTTCCTCACGAGGAAGGTGATTGTTCTGCCCTGTGAAACTCATCTGGAGTACTGCAACCATGAGGCCCTCAGCATAAGAAAGATGTGGAGCTGTTGGAGCAGGTCCCAAGGAGGCCACGAACGTGCTCAGACTCTCCTCCTATGAAGAAAGGTTGAGGGAATTGGACTTGTTTCGTTTGGAGATGAGAATGCTCCAGGGACACCTCATTGCAGCCTTCCAGTACTCAGCAGGAGCTTATGAACAGGAAGGACAGCAACTTCTCTGATGGTCTAATAGCAATAGGACAAGGGGGAGTGGCTTTAAAGTGAAATAAGAGAAAATTAGATGTTAGGAAGAAATTCTTTACTCAGAGGGTGGTGAGGCACTGGCACAGGCTGCCCAGCAAAGCTGTGGATGCCCCATCCCTGGAGCTGTTTGAGGACTGGTCGGATGGGACCCTGGGCAGCCTGAGCTGGTGGGTGGCAAGCAGCAGGTGGGTTAGAGTTCAGTGATCTTTGAGATCTCTTCCAACCTAAGCCATCCTATGTCTGACACAGGTAATTTTAAAGGAAGATAGGTTGAGTAGGTTCAAGGCACAATATCATCCACTGCTATCTCCCACCCAGCCTCACATATTGATAGTTGAGTTACCATTCTCCTCACCTGAGTTCACCATTTCAATTAGATCCTGTTGCTAACATGGTGATGTAATTTCACGCAGGATCTGACTGTACCCCACAGAAGGCCTGCACAGCTCACAGAGGGAAGCTAAACAGCCTACTGAAGACTAGTGGTTCTCAGCCTTTATTGATCTACAGATGCCTGCATATTTTCCCTTGGAAATGTAAACACCTGCCTAAAATGTAAGCCTCTGGTTTTTCAGTTACCTTACAGACCTCTTAAATGTTGTCCACGGACCACAAGGTGAAGGTCAGTACTTGAGAGCGATCATTATGCACACCCAGCAGGTAGCCTACAATTTCAAAGTCTCTCACTTAGTTCCCTTTTTTTGCCATAAAGGTACACATTCAACTCTTCTTGGAGGTCCCTGCTCTGTATTTCCTCTGCAGGAAAGACTAGTTCCCCACCCCCACCCCCCCTCTCACTCCATTCTCACAAACATCAGTTGATCTGGAGCACTTTCCCCACGCGTGGTTAATCAGCCTTGCATATGAAAGACGATGCCAAATGCCCCAAACTATAGCTGCATCCACAATCCAAAAACATATCCTAATTCAGCAGCAAAACTAGGCATAGACTCTAGTTCTTTGGTGTCATGATTTCTTGCAGTTTTTTTTTTTTTTTTCCATTCATTACATAGACACTACATGAAATCGAAATGTTTGTTGGACCAAGTCACTACATCTCTTGAGTACTTTGGTGTTCTACTATACAGAAACAAGAAACCATGCACACAAATTTAATCTGTTGTACCTGAAATGACGATTGGACAGGTACCTATCATGTACTTAGCGAAATGTACAAAAAAATTTCATTCTATGTTCAGAACTGTACTAGTAAACTTGGGCAGCTTTCGGGTACATTACCTGCAAAATCCTAGACAAGATATATATCCTTTTGTTGATATAAAGATGATAAAATAATTGATAAAAATATAGAAGACAAGCAGAATCTCCTAGTTATATTCTATATTATGAAGAAAATTGGATGATGTAGACAAATCTATGAAGTAATGAATTATTACCTATTGCCAATGATATCTATGAAGACGTTTAGTTCCACCCATAAAACATCCTAGAATTTGCATAGCTATAAACTCACAATCAAGAATTTTGAAAGAATCATCTGGCAAGCAAATGGAAACAATGGCCTTTCCTTTCAAAACAACTTTGGAGTTTGAGTGTGTTCCAGAAAGCCAGTAAATACTTTCATTTTAAAAGCATTTGAAAAATAAGAGGGATCATCTAGGTAGCTTAGAAGCCAGTTGACCTAATGCTGACTTGGCAAAATCAAAGCGTAATCTATTTGGGTTACACTCAGCTAAGAAAGGAAACATAATAGTATTTGATTTAATTGAATGAAAAAGATCTCATTAAAAGAATTACGTGTTCTTTTGTGGCAATGTAAGTTTGGTACTTCAAGATGGTCCAGGACTAATATAGCAAGACTTGCATCTAAGTACAACACAGCCTGGTCCTTTTGTAAAGGAAAAGAAAGGCAATAGCTAAGTGCTACAGGAGGGAGCCAAGCCTTACTGGGAGACACCTACACCAGCTCAATTAAATTCAGTTGTTTGGAAAGATGAATACAGCAGCTCGATCACGGGCATGTAACTCATTAGAAAAGATTTTTGATAGCAGAAGACTTTAATGTACTGAAGAAAGGCGTAATAAGACCTTATGAGAAGGAAAAGAAAATAAAAAAAGAAGAGAATGGCAGTTTCAATGGCAGTGAAAACCAGCAAAATAAGCGACATGGTTGATCAACCATAGGGCTTTAAATTGTGCAAGTTTAAAATCTTTCTTGAAGATTTAACTGAATTATAGACCAGCAATGCTATCATTAGTCATGGCTGAGATTCCATTGCCATGTTGTGGGTGACTTTTCTAAATGATTTCCAGCCTACATGATGTTTCCTTTTAAAGCAATGAGAATTTGCAAAATCCAGCTAAGAAGTGACAACCGATTCAGGAAAGGACAAGGAGTGCTGCCACATTCCAGCAAAGACTCAAGATGCAAACTAACACAGAACTCCAGAATCAATACCAAGTCTTCTTCAGTATACACATATGGGAACAAATGGATTGGCATTATGAAGAAAATGCGGAGTTAAAGATTTCAGGAAGCTGAAGAGGAAGGACCACAGGATCTTATTGGAGAATATCCCATTCCTGCATGTGGAATTTAAATATTTGAACTGCTGTCAGCTTGAGAATACAAATCTGACAAAGTCACACTCTGAAACTTGAGGCTCCTTCTCCATAGCAGAAAACTGTGTATGGATGTTATGCTTTGCATCCTGCATGTAGCTACTATACTGTTTCGGTTACCCTGAGGCACTCTGAATGTCTTAAACAGCCTCAGAAATTCAAAGAGAAAGACCTGATAAAAACTCAACTAGGTGACAATGAGAATGAAGTATTTTTCATTGTTTCTACCCAGATTTCTGTTGCTGGTGTAAACAGAAATAAGAAATTCAACTGATTGGGGGGGAAAAAAAGTCCAGGAATAAAGTGGCACTTCTGAAACTCAATGGGAAAGCATCGTAATAAAAGCCAGTTTCCTCCTGTGTGATAGTAAAAGTTACAGAAACAGCAGCAAACTGCACAAACATAAGCAGTACCTTTGAAATTACCAGTAACAAAAGAATTGTACAGCCTTAAATACACAGACATCCCTGTGCTTGGTAATAGATTCCAAGAAGGAAGGATAGAAGACATAAGAAAACAATGCACCAAACAAGGGAAGGTGATCTCAAGCACCTTTAACACAAAACAAACAAAACAACAACAAACCTCACAACACTGCAAGAAATGTTTTAACTTGCAAGACATTCCCCAGGGTATTCAAGCAGTCAGCCAAATATCCTTCCCATTTTCAAAATTAATTTCCTTAAAACTAGACGCTGCACCCAAAACAAGCCTATTTCTCAGAGTTCAACACGATGCATACAAGACATGGCAATGTGAGTGCAAACTGGCAGTTTTATATGTTCGTATTGAACATGGGCGTGTGGAGGAGAGCTACAAGCAGTAATAAACCTATGCATAGTCTGTGCTTCACAAAGCAAATTCCAAGGTGAACTTGTGAACTGAGTTGTCTGGAAGAAAAAAAAAAATGTAAGGCAGGAAAATGTGAATGAAAACTATTCTTTAATTAAAATAGGATTGTATGGCCAAAACCATCCCAATTCCACAAAGCTTTCAGGAAAAGCTTGTTCTGGGTTCAGTGAGAAAGTCTGTGAGCAAGAAAAAACAACTGAAACAAGGGGGAAAAAAAGACAAAAGGCCAAAATACAACACATGGAAAAGGGGAAGGCCAGACAAATGAGATAAAACAGATATTATTAGATAGAAAAAAAAAACCCTCAAAAACTAGTAAGGAAAAATTTGCGGCAAGCAAAACCACCGATAAAAGGAAAGGAATTTTGGAGCTTTCATTTGTTTTTGATGTGTTTTTGTTGGTTTTGGTTATTGTTGTTGTTTGGTTTTCTTTTTTTTAATAAAAAGCAGACAAATAAATACTGCTAATATCCATGCTAAGTAAAAATGATTAAACTGCTAGAGAATAAAGAAAATCAGTCAGCAAATACTTCTAATCCCATAGTCAGAAACAGAACGTGGCAGGAGTATGAAAATAGCAACTTCTCTTCAGTACCGTAGTATCAGAGCAAGAAATCAGACAACATCTATTGGGGACATATATTTTTAAGTCAGTAAAGAAACAGTCCTAGAAGAGTTGACTAACAAGCTCTCTAGCCCAGCAGTTCCAATTTTAATTAAATGTGGGATATTAGAGAAATACTGTAAGACATTCACAACAGTATTCCCAAAATGCAAATGAAAGGACTCAGCATCAAAATCAGTCTGAGGCAAAATAATGGAAAACCTGTTAAGATGAAGAATGAATGAATGAGTGAAGAATGAATCCTATAACCCAAAGATTTACGAAATACAGGTTTTGTAGAGGGGAAAAAAAAAAATGAAACCCTGGATTCATTCATTGATGACATCATTATACGTTTGGTTTAACAAAGGGGACTGCATAGGTGCAACATACTTAAATTTTCATAAGGCATTGACCTAGCACCATAAGTCAAAAAGATTTACTGTACATAATCACATACTAAGAGGATTAAGAAATGCCTTCTAGCCTGCAAGTCTCAAAAAGAAGCTAATAAAAAGTTGCACTGAATGATGCTTTTCAAGTTAGTGTAGGTCAGATGGATCTGAAAGTTAAAAAGTAACAACTGATACAGTTTGTGGGTGACAAAAACTGGCAAAAGTGGCTTGTGACCTGGACCACTATAAGCCAGGTCAAACAAAATGGACTTTGAGACCGTCTCACATTAAACAAGCAGGAAATAAGAACTCTGACTATCTCTATAGAAAGGGGAAAAGATTACCATAGGAAGCTGAGATTTCTGATGATTTAGGAATTGCACCAGATAAGCAGCTAACATGAGCTCCTGTATAATGCTGGAGAAAAGAGAAAATGCAATCCTCTGCAGACTTAAGGCAAAGGGAAGGGCAACCTTGTCCATGGCACCGGAGATTGAACACTTAATTCAGAAGTGAATGTTTTTACAGGATTCAGAAAAAATTGATGTGAAAATAAAAGAATAATTCACAGGCAGGAGGAAATCCTTTATAGTGGAAGACTGAAGGAGTTCCCTCTACTTAGCTTGTAAAAAGTAGATTTTGAGAGATGTTAGTGTTTTAAATACCAGGTCAGAGGAGGAAGCTCGAAGGTTCTCTAAATCAGTAGGATGGATCTGAACTGGAAGCCAAAGGCAACCAAATCCAAGAGAAACCAGACTTAGATATTTAGAGAGCAAGAACACAAAGCCCTTGCAGCGGGTTACCAATGGAAGGGATTTGCTATGTCCCTGTGCCTCAAAATCAAGCCAATACATTCTGTGAACATGCACTTAAAATACACCTTAGCTATCAAGGCTCAGTGCAGAATAGCTTGAAATGTCACCTGTAAAATGTAGGAGTCAGGTAGTCTCTTCTAGCCTCATCTGTGAACCTACAAAAAACTTCAGCCACTTGCAGTCAAGCCTGCTGACTAAACACAGAGAAGCAACTCTCTGCCACAGACTACCCAGGTGCAGAGCTCCAACTTTCACTACGCAAACCACAAGGCTGCCTGAAGACAGGGATGCATTACTCACGGTGCTCGGTGCTTGCAGCAGCAAGATGCTCGTGCTGCAATCTGGTGCGTGAGGAAGGAACACACGGCACAGGGGCAGGGTGCCTGCAGTAGCACCTCTGAGGAGCCTTTTACACCAGTTTATTTCTACACAAGGTGATAAAAAAAAAAAAAAAGCTCCTTTTGTTTGTTCGTACAGAAATCTGAAACTATAGGCTTTGAGTGGGTATTTTAAAATCCCAACACATGCTTTTTTCCCTTGCCTTTTCATTTGAGTCAGCCTCCACGATCCAAAGAAACTAAGAAGTGATACACAAGACCATAGTCATGTGGACCAAAAAAAAAAAAAAAAAAAAAAAATTAAAACAAACAAATAAACAAACCAAAAGGGAAGGAGAAGACAAAGAGAGAGGGAAAAACAAACGAAGATTGAAAATAAAAATTTGCCAGGATAATGCGTTTTATAAACACAGAGATAGAAACAGTTACAGCAAGGACAGAGCGGGCCAGGGGTGGGGAATAGATATTTATATATATATATATGTATATATATATAAATTCACGGGGCCTTCAGTTTATTCTCGTTGGCTCCCCGTTCTCTTTAGATTGGTCTCTCTGTGGGGATCTTCATCCCTTTCTCTCCACTGTCCACCTTTTGGGGATTCTCTCCCATGATCAGGGTCCAGAAGAGGCCACCACTGCCATGTGAGTCCAGCCCGTCTTGGCAAGAGGAGCCTGAGAGAGCACTCTGGTGGGAGCTGAGCAGAGAAGCTAGCCTTTCCCTATCACCCGCCGGCTCCTTGAAAGACTGGTCTACTCCTCCTCCTCCTTCCCTTTAGGAAACGGGGCAGGACAGGGGGGTGTGAGTCAGAACTGCTGTTGTTCCACCTTGCGAGAAAGGGAGTAGAGAGAAGGGCGATGATTATTTTGGCAGTCTCTCACCCTCCCCTCCATTGCTTTTTGGTTTGTTGTTGATGCCTGCAGGCTTTTCTGAGGAGGTGGGGGAAGCAGGAGGGAGAGAAGTACAAGCTGCTAGGACATCATCCACAACGGGCAGGAAGAGCAACGAGCAGGAACCCACATTCCTATGGGGCCTTGGCCATTACGCTGCTCAGATAGCTGGGAGAGGCAGCAGCCAGTTCCAACAGACTCCTCTCTATTGCTCTCCACTAGGGGAGAAGAAAGAGTGCAATACTCCATAGCCCCCAGGCAGTGCAGGCACCTGTCCAGCCCAGAGAACATGCCTCATCTCTCCCCCACACTGGTCTCACTTTCCACTGGGGAGGTTTCTCCCATCCAGTCCTGGGGGCAGAACAATCGACCCCTCCTCCCTTTCACAAGCAGGAGGAACAGGAATGGATATTTCCCTCTTAGACACTCAAGGAAATCCTCAAAAAAAAAAAAAAAATAAACCATCCAGTTGTGAACCCTGCCACATTCTTCTGTGGCCCACTGAAAGCATGTCCAAGCCCCTGTACATACTAGGACTCCATTCCATTCACCACGCATGTCTCAACACCTCCCCACCCCTTCATACGCATCCTACAGTGAGAGAAGGCAAAACAGAGGCCTTTCTTTGGGTTTTAAAGGAGGGGCTCTTGCATGAGGAAGTGATCCCAGCACAGGAAAGGAGCTCTTGCACAAGGAAGCATCCTCCTACCAGGCAGGTTGTTGCACAGAAGGAGCACCCCCTTGATAAAGGCTGTTATTCAAGGGGCTGCCATGAACAGGGTTACACGGCCAGAAGAGGCTGTTGCAGGAGGAGAGGCCGGAGACTGTTGCACGAGGAGGGCCACCACACGAGCGGTGCCCCTGGGCGCAGGCTATGCACAAGAGGCTTTCTGCTCCCTGGCTTGAGGTCTCTCTAGGAGCTGGAGAGGTGCTCCACTTGGATGGCGCTGGTGCTGACAGTGAGGCAGATGTCCTTATGATGCTCTGAAGTCTTGTAAGGAGTCAGGTCAAAGGAGCACTGAGGGGGAGGATTGGGTTGGTTAGTGTCTCCAGAAGGGCCCCCTGCTGCCCCACCTCCCTGTGGCTGGAAGTGCTGCTGCTGCTGAGAGGCCTGGGCTTGGGCCTGAACCACCTGCTGCTGTGGATCAGGGATGTTGTGTTTCCGCATGTGCTTCATCAGGTACGTCTCCTGCAATGGGAAGAACGGCATGACAGGTGGGGATGACTCAGAAGAAAAAAAAGGAACAGGGAGGGATACGACAACTCATGGTGCTGCTTCCACAGAACCTACTCTCTGGGGAAGTGTTCCCGCTTCTGATAGCTCTCAAGGAGCCAACACTCACCGAGGTGTAGGCCCGGCTGCAGATGGAGCAGGTATAGACCTTGGCATGTTTCACCGTGTGTGTAGCCAGGTGTACCTCCAGCGAGGCAGCATCTGTGTATGCACGGTGGCAGTTGTGGCACTTGAAAGGTTTGTCTTTGTTGTGCTGCCGTCTATGGGACTGGGGAATGGCAGCAGGGCAGAGGAAAGAGAAAGCAAGTGCAGAGAAAGAGGTGAATATTAATACGGGAGATTGCTTTACCTCTAACACTCCCTTCCAACCAGGCTCCAAGTCCCCCAGGACCCAGTATGCTGAGCTAGGTACACCCAGCTCCTAGCACAGAACGTGGTACTTTCCACTCCAGCCCACTGTGTCTTCCCCACAAATTCTTTATCAGCCCTTCTACACATTTGAAAGCAGTCTCCTAACTCTCCGCAGCATCCATCTTCTCAGTCTCAATGCAATTCTTTCAATCTTTTCCTGCCTTTCTTCTCTCCTGCCTCTCTTCACACTGACTCCCCATGTCTATCAACTGTCAAAGCAAGATCTTCCTTAACTGATCACTGACATTTTGCTATTTGGCATTTTTCACTCTTCCCTTCCTCCTCAGTACTGCAACAGGACATATTACTTTTGCTTCCCTAAATCTCTAGTCT